GTTGCCGCTCTCCCCGACCGCTTTTTGTTAAACACCCCTCCTTCCTTCGTCCCCCCACTACTCTGAGCACCTTGCATCACCATACAGGCCCGTGTTTTCACACTGTCACCGATCTTTCAAAAACTGGTCCGCCTTCTCCCCTGTTTTTCATGTTACTGTCGTTGGCGTTGCCAGCCTGGAGTGACCAGACCATTTGCCAACATCGTTGGCCACCGACTCTATCCGGTCATCTGCGTCTAGTGCACGCGCGTACACTACCCACCGATTCTGATAGTTCGCGATTCGTTTCGTGTTTAGGACCTGTTCTCGCTCACTTCGCACTCGGCTCAGCATGCCTTCCGCTTGCGTGCGGAAGCACGAAAACGGCTGTTAATTTGCGCGAAACGAATCGCGAAATATCGAAGTTGGTGAGGCCATGCAAGTCCGCCGGCACAACAAACGATTTTTTTACCACGGCTGCCGATTCTTTGAACACCGCCGCGGACGCCGATTCAGGCGTCTGTGCTTTGACCTCTGCGCGCGCAGGCACTCTTTCAAGTTTTTTAACTCGCAAGTGGCGCGTTTTGCGGACCTGTCAAGCAATCTACCCGACCTGCCTTCTTCACGCATGTTTTGGTTTTCAAGGTCGCCCTCCCACCATATCCTCCCCTCTCTTTCCTCTATCGCAACTCCTTGCCCTTCTCTCACAAATCGGCTCTCTTCTCCGGACCACAACCCCTTCGCTCGTCTCCACCACTCCGCGACCCCCGCCACGCTGGCTCGAATTCAGAAGTTTTGTTTTCCAACTAGAAACGGGCCCAGAGCTATTCCACGCGTTCTGGCATGTGTGTCGCGTGTGCGCATCTTGCTCACTATTGGTGTGCGTGTGTGATCAGGATGGTAGACGGGAGGACTTGCAAGCTTTTTCCTGCCGCTCAAAAAAACGTCGAAAGTGTGACCGCTTGGCTTGGGCGTAATCCGCGTGTTACGAGCCACGTTTCGGAGCGCTTGCTCATAGCTGTTGACCACCTGGCAGCCAACTTGCCGCTTCGGGCGTCCCGGTATTCAGCTGTGGAGAAGGTGAATATTTGGAGGGCAGCGGTGACGGCTCCATGCACGCGAAACTATTTTTGCGAGGCTGACTCTACTCACGTCGGGCCCAATGCAGATGCTGATCCTTCCGAACAGAACCACTGCGCCGGCGATTTGTGGCAGCGCGCCGTCGACTCCGACATGAGAGAGCGGGTAGAACATCTGTTTCAATGGTTTCATTATGGCCGATGATGATGCCGACACTGCAGAACCGTGCACGGATTACGGCATTGTGAATGAAGTACGCGGCAAAAGCGATTTGGAGGAATCGGATTGCGAGAACGACAAAACTTTGGAGCCAGTGCCTCATGCAGCTTATGCCACGGGCCTCGGCAAACAAGCGCGTTGCCGTTTGAAATAAAGCCGAGACCGCCCTTATCGTCTCTGCCCGTGCATCATGGACTTTTTGGAGCAGAAAAGTTTGTATATTCCCTCACAACTTTTTTAAAAGCTGTTTCATTTACTACGAACTCCGGGATACAGTAAACGGATGCCGCGTCAGGTGCAAGTTCGTTATAGGCGGGCTAGACTGTATCGCTGTAATTGGTGTACCAATTCATGTGAGGATGTGCCTTCCTGCTTGCGTTGTTGTAAGTCTAATGAACTGGGCTCTCTCTTGTGCCTCGGCGATTTCCTCTAATGTGTTGTGCATCCCAAGCTGCATGAGGTTTTCAGTTTCGGTGTACATAAATAGCCTAAGAGCTACCTTAATTGTCTTCTTCAGTAAAGCATTAAGTCTGTCTCTTTCGTATCTCTGCCACTCATGCATGGTTGCTACGTACGCGAAGTGGCACAATATGAACGAGTGAACTAGTCTTGCAACGTTGTCTTCTCCAAGCCCTTGTTGGCAGTTAGTAACTCTTTGATGAGCCTGATTGTGTTATGCACTTTCTTAGCGATATGCTGACTAGTTTGGTTATTGGAGCCATTGGCTTCTATCACAAAGCCCAGAACCCAGAAAAAATCCACCCTTGGAATGGCACTTCTGCTCATGGTACAGAGCTTTATCTCCTTCTCCTCTGTTGGAATTCATCCATTGGGTTTGAGGCCTCTTCTTTTAGGTCGGTATAGCAGGAGTTCAGATTTCTTAGGTGAGCATCAGAGTGCCGTTAAAATGAGGTACTCTTCGTCACGTTTACAGCTTGTAATTTTTCTCCTATTTCTCCATCGCTGCCTCCAGTACACCATATCGTGACGTCATCTGTGTAAATAGTGTGCTCTATGCCTTCGATGTCTTCGAGTTTCCTGGCGAGACCTATCATAGAGATATTGAAAAGGGTAGGCGAGATGACCGCTCCTTGGGGTGTGCCCCGGTTGCCTAGCTTCACTGTATTCGATTTTAGGTCCCCAGCCATGAGCGTGGCCGTCCTTCCGCTGAAATTCTTCCGAAGTATTCATAAAAATTACTACCCAAACCTAGATTCGAAATGGTTTTGAGTATGAAGGTATGATGGATATTATCGAAGGCTTTTCCATGTCTAGTCCCAGTATTGCTTATGCGTTTCTTGTCTTGTGGCTGATTAAGTTGTTCTTGAGTAGGAGCATGGCATCTTGCGTGGAGACACCATGTCTGAAGCCTATCATCGTGCGAGGGTAAACGCTGTGCTCTTCCAGGTACCTAGATAATCTATTTAGTATCACATGTTCAGCAACCTTTCCCACACACGATGTGAGTGAAATCGGTCGTAGATGCTTGAGGCCATGAGGCTTGCCTGGTTTTGGGATTAAAATGGTGTTAGCGGCCTTCGATTCGCTAGGAACTTCACTTTTCTTCCACATCTCATTAATTGATTGCGTTAAATATTCTATAGAATCGTCTTCCGAATTGCACAGAATCTTGTTTGTTATCCTGTCGGATCCTGGGGCAGATCTTCCATTGAGATCGTATAAAGCCGCCCTCACAACTGCTAACGTGAATTGAGCATCTAGGATGGGGTTGCTTGGGCCTGTGTAGCCTAATCGAGAAGGGTGTGCCCGCTGTGTGTTCTCGACGAATAGGTGCCTATTCACTAGTTGCGCAATGACTTCCGACTTTGACGAATCCTGCGCCAAGTGAAAAATTTTGCCTAACGTGTTGCACTGATTTGATTTCGTTTTGGTTTCATCTAATAGGCCTTCAAGTAGATTCCAGGTTCCTCCTTTTCTCATCTCGCCATCTATGGAGTTGCAAACCTTATCCCACTGTTGCTTGGAGAGGGTTTTGCATTGCTCTTCTATCGCTCGATTGAGGTCAGCAATTTTCTTTCACAGCCTACAGTTTAGCCTCTGGCCCTTCCATCGCTTAAGAAGGAATTTTTCAGCTTCTATGAGGTGTGCTAGTCGGCTGTTTATTGTTTCGATAGGGAGATCTGTGAGCACTTCTTTAGTAGTGGCGCCAACGTCCTCCCTCAGCTGTGAAGTCCATTCTTCCAGGTTCACTTCTGCATTCCCCCTTTAATTTACAATTTTATGGAATTTGTCCCAGTCTGTGACCCGAAATTTGCGTGGTCTCTTTTGTCCAATGCCTAGGTCAATCCTTAGTATATTATGATCACTACCAAAGTCTTGGTTCAAGTTAGCCGATGTGGGCTCTGTAGTGTTGCGCACAAAAGTGAGGTCATGTCGATGTGCCGCATCTAGTCAGGAATGCTGGGTCTGTGATGAGTGTTGACTCTAGATCTGTCGCTTCTCGCCATAGACTCTCCCCTTTCTTTGTATTGGTAACCCCATGTGTGGTAGGGAGCATTGAAGTCTCTAGCAACGATTAGCGAAGAGTCTCTAGCTAGTTTGACGGGTGACGCCATAAGGAGCTTCGCCCCTAAGACGTATGCTAGTAACACTTTGGAACGACCGCCGAAACACCGGTCGAACATACAGCTTAGCCTAAAAGCTCGCATAGCCCGAGCCAACACGCAGCGACGCCTCTTAAAGCGCTCGTTTTGATTACAAAATGGAGTAGTTTTGCAAATCACCGTTTCAAAAACTTCCACGTGATGGCCGACGCGTCATGATATGAATAAAGCACATAGGTGCCCGTTTCAACTGGTTTGAACGCGTGTTTTGTGCACATCAAGTTCACAAATCATGCAAGTTTCATACCGTGCACTATGGAGGAGTATTTAGTGTTTGTTGCTACCAAATGGATCTCTCGCTACCTGCAGACGCCGATGTGCGAATTTGGCAGGCGATAGCTTTTTTTAATGAAAAATTCAATAAATACTCATTTAATTAACCAAATCAATTGCTAACTGGGGTTAACCGGTAGCGGGTTGTAAGCGTTCTGTCGCTCACAGAACCCAGTTTGAGAACCCACGCGCTAGAGCATCCAGGAGACTCGTCCCAATGAAGGGATGACTCCATGTTCATGCAACAAGGTAGTTGCTCCCGGCAAAACGTGCGCACATAGATGATCACACGCAGCAGCGTCGCTGTGAAAACCACAGAGACAGGAGGAATGTGCTATGGACAACAAAGAACCTGAGAGTCAACCCCGCTGCGCTTGGCGCTCGGTTAGGGTGGCTAACTCGGTGGTTTCCACTAAGTGACAGTGGCACCAGAACACACAGCCTAGCTAGCAGAAGCAGCACGCTCGATGCACAGCAGCACGCTTTTGCTGGATCATGCATATTTACAACAGTCCAGAGGAGATTATAGCAACACCGTGGGAGCCTTCATTACCAGAAAGGTGCAAAGTAAAAAACACGCCTGAGCAAGTCTTATTTTCTTGATATACCTGGTGCTGCTCGGAAGATCAAGGAGTCAACTCAGCCTTTTTCCCCACTGAAGCTGAGGTTGGCATGATGATTCTGGCTTTTGAGGCTGTTTTGGAGCAATTAGGAGAAATTTTCACAATTTTTATGCTTTTGGAGCAGCTTGGCTCAAGAAAACGAAAACTTATCGAAAATGTGCACTATTCGCAGCTGTCTCACCCCTCCAAACAGTCCACTTACTTGTTAGTCAAACTTCCTTTGTCACCCTCGCCTTGGAGGCTGTCTTCAACTTGGGTCAAAGGGCCTACAATGCTGGGAAGCATGGTAAGGCACCACACCATGTTCCGGGCAGACACCATCACTTGCATGGGAAGGCTGTCACCAGTCTTGACAAGGCTAAGCACTGATTGTGCTTGCTAGGGAAGGCAATGGAAAGAACTGCATTTGAAGTCTTTCAACATTCAAGGCGACTTAGTAGTGGAATTAATGTTGGAATTCCAGATGTCTCAGACATTAGTCATATCCAAACCTAGAGCCACAACATGCTCTCGCATGGCAGAACTTCACATATAGTATATGTGAATATACCAAAGTCTCAACTAAGGGCTGACCACAATAACAATAGAAACATAGATAATAGCATAAATAATAAACAGGTATAAACTGCGAGTTTTCTAAATAGTGAACAGGAGTAAACTGTGAATCTTCAATCACATGCGTGTGACCCTTTCCTGAGCACTATTCTCCACAGCTGGATGAGGCAGTCTAACTAGGACAAGGCTAATGCAATGACCGTGTCACTCATGCATGCACCTACTAGTAATGTCTACAGTTTTTTTACACAAAGCAAAAGTCAGTGAAAAAACTAATGAATTTATCTCTCAAGAAAAAGTGAGAAACAATGTCAAACTTTGTGAAAATATGTGGCAAGCACTGTCAAAAGATCCTCTGTTGACTGTATTAGACAATTAATGTATCACATTTAGTGCGAAGGGTTGAGGTTAAGAATATTTTCTTACCAATACGGGTGGAGACAAAGAAGTCGCAGGTTTTGAAGCAACTGGTGACATGGGTTTCGAAGCAGCTGGTGACGTGGGTTCTAAAGCAGCTGGCACCACAGGTTCTGAAGCAGCTGTCACCATGGGTTCTGAAGCAGCCGATGCCACAGGTCCCTTAGTGTCCAGACCAGAGTGCCATGGAGCTAGAGAGAATGTGCCCATCGATTTTCCATCTTCTTTTGAGGAAGCCGTTCCTCGAACTTCGCCATTCTCTGCAGACTCCACACAAAAATTCAGCATTTGCCCCACTCTGAAGGAAGTTGGGTCTGAGGTGAGCAATAGTACCGCTGCGGCAGGGACCTCCTTGTGTTCAGGTGCAAGTGGGATGACGTTTGTGTTGGGTTCGTCATTTCCATAGTCCAAGTATCGTACTGTGTGCCCATTTGCGGTCTTGTCGAACACATAGGCTCGGTACCATCGCTTGTCTTCTGAAGACTGGGAGGCCACATAATCCCCGCAGGTCACACTGCGAAAACAGCAAATGCTGAATTGAAGCATTGAAGCGAAGGCTCACTTCTTTCCTTGCATCATGCCAACAGATTATAAATTTAAGAACCTCCTTATTGCACGCTGCCCAAAAATACCAGGGGTGCACGAATTTTCTGATAGCCCGTGCACCCCCAGTATTGTCCTCTATGGTCCTAGAAACCACTATGGTCCTAGGGACCATAATGGTTTTAAAATTTCACATATTTTTCTAATAGTGTTTGCTATTTGCACCGGAATTTCACTATTCAAACAATTCAAACTTCTCGTCGACAAATCGAGTTGTCGACAAATCGAGTTGTCAATTTGAAAGTGGCCCCTTAAAATTTTTTATATGATTCAGATCATAGCAGCAACGCGGCCTTTCAAGCTCTGTTACAGTAACAAATGTATCGACTCGAGAAAACACTGGTTCTGTAGTGATGAGGAATGCCCACTACTGCAGCGCCATCGACACTGCGCGAGGTGCGAGCTAGGACTGCCTGGTTGCTGCTGCGACGACGCCCGTATACCCGGCCAGCTCTTGCCGCTTCTGTACCGACGCTGCTACCCCTTTTGACCTTGCATTTACATTACATTTTGGTGGAGAGTACTGCGGTCTTTCCCAGTCCTGCAACTGAGTAGCCAAAAGCTGCCGTCCGTGACGCCTGACGACGCTGTCTTCACACCCCAACCGACTTCGCCACGCAGGGGCTGTCCCGGTGCCCAGTTCTTGAGAGAACTTCAGCGGCACCGACGAGAAATACGTTGAGAGAATTGGCTGGAATCTTATGAACGAGCCAGCGCTACTAACAAATGGGACGATCCCACGAAGCTTAGGTACCGTGGATGTTGCCACGCTGTGGTACAGAAACCATGAAGCAGATATCCCCAGTTGGACGACCTTCAAAACCTGCATCACAGATGTTTTTGGATGCCCTGGTGTGCGCAAACTTCGTGCAGAACACCTACGAAGCCGGTACCAACAAACTGGCGAGACATTCACTAGCTACATCGAAGACATCCTCGACCTCTGCCGGCGTGTCGGCCCGACGATGGCGGAAACTGACAAGGTACGACACATCATGAAAGGGATTTCCGACGACGCCATTCAAATGCTGTTCTCGAAGAGCCCCGTCACTTTCTCTGAGCTCATAGAGTTCTGTCAGAGTTTCGACGAGCTCCGACGACAGCATCTTTTCGCGCGACGCCCTGACGTCCCGGATGACACCCTCTCAAGCCTGACCACCACCTCTGACCTTCAGTCCCTGCTATCACAGATCAAGAAGTTTGTTGGTGCTGAGGTCACTTGTCAGCTATCGCTGCTACCAACAGCCGGCCAACCACCGTAACCTCTGCCAGCAAACATTCGCCAGGTCATCCAGGAGCAAGTTTGCGCGGCTCTCCCATCTGCCCGTGACACTTCACCGTTGTCGACCCCTGTTGCCTGTGCCGAGGTAAATGTACCTCTAAGCTATGCTGAAGTGGCCGCTCGACCACCTCTTTAGACTTTTACGTCATCAGCCGTGCTACTGCGACCCACTCGTCAGTTCGCTCAGCCAAGGTCCGTCCAGAGTAGTGGACAGTGGCATACACTCGACAATCGGCCAATATGCTTTGCCTGTGGCCTACCTCGCCACATAGCGCGATACTGCCATCGGCGCGTCCGTCTACCACCAGAGCTTCGAACCTGCCCCTTATGTGCCACCGTGCCCTTCGTTCACAGGCTCTCAGCCCCCGATCAGATGTCATCGTAAGCCGACCACCGCCCTCCTGTTAACCCTCGCTCGCCATCGCCGATGCGTCGTCATCCTTCATCGCCGGAGTGAGAAAACTAATCGCCGCAGCTCCTGAGGCAGGAACTGCGTCACCCACAAAAAGACCAAGGCCTCTCTCTTCACTGACAAATGGAATCAAAGAGGCATGCTAACTTGGAATTCTTCACTCTAAAAATTTCAAAAATGACCAATTTCATCGCACTTACGATATAAGGATACTGCAATTATAAAAAAAAGAGCGCAGTTTTGATACCTTCTCGCACCCTCTCCATAGGGAGAGGGCACGATGTCATGTCGGAAAGTTACGCGCTGATGGGCTTCAATGCGCATGTGTAGTAGGGCCTTAAAGGGGTCGTGCCACAATATTTGTGGCTTGCGTGTTCTTTGCTGCAAGCTTTATTTACAGCTCCAATAAGCACGATACACGCACCAAGATTCATTTATTCTCGCTATATAATTTGTCGCCTTTTTGATATTGACAACATTAAGTTCCTGTTTGTGTGGACCGAGTTGTGCAGGTACATAGCAGTGTAGCTGACTTAGTCACGAGATCACAAAGCTTTGCACACATGTGCCACACAAGCATCTTCAAAACAAACTCACCGCTACCTGCAGCAGCCGCGATGCTTTGCCGGTATGTACGGGGCTGAAGTCTGGAGGTCACTCAGCTGACTACAGATCTGGTGTCACGTCACTAGAACTTTCGTTGCCCTTCCTGTAGAGCTACTTCAGTGTTGGACGCTCTCGCGATGGGCCTCAATTAGGAGAATGAGCATTTAGTTACGCTTGGGAAGTGACTTAAAATATACAATCGAATCTCGATAATTCGAACTCGAAGGGGCCCAAAAATTAGTCCGAATTAAAAGAAGTTTGAATTAATGAAAGTTAAACAAACGGAGGGCTCTCAAACGGGTGCATGTGCATTGTGCTAACACACAAGGGGGAAGTTTCAGAAGACTTACATTTATTCACAAATCACAGGACATCCGTTATTAATTGAAGTAATCAGTGGTGAGCGTCTGCACACGTTTGCCTTGCAGCGAGTCAATCAATTTTGCATGCAGGATGCAAAGCATTTCTACTTCCGCTTCAGCATTCTCCTGGTAAGAGAAGTTGCGCGCGGAAATGTCTAGCGCCTACACTTTCTAAAGACGACGACAACGACTGCGTAGCAGAGCCTCCCGGGGTCTCCCGCTCTCCGCTACGCAGCCGCAGCATGGCCAGCACATGACGAGAAAGGAGGAGCGTCTCCACCGGAGAGAAGCAGATCGGCATTTGAGAGATAACCAACACTCCACGGCAGCTTTTTTTTTTTTTTGCTCTATTCGCGCTTCGTTGAAAAGAGAAGGGTTACGTGGCAAGGAAGGAAAAGGAGGATGCGTGGCACCATGTGAGAAACCCCCCCTCCCCCCCTCAAGGCGCAGAGCCATGCTCCCGCAAGGGGCAAGGGCTGCAGAAGATAGTGCCTTTTTGCTTTTCTTCAACCACACATTCATTCAACCCAGCGACAGCTTTCGTTTTTCCCTCTCTCTCTTCGTGCGCGGCATTGGGAGGAAAAGGGTCTTTACTTGGCAGGGACAGAAAAGGAGAAGTGTGACGCGGGCGCGTCGCAGATTGGCGTTTGAGAGAGAGCAAACATTCCACCACAGCCTTTTTTTTCCACCACAGCACTTTCTAGCCACCCTACCTCAACGCTGCCCGCGAAGGAAATGAAAAGGAAAGAATTGGTTGAACCCCACATATCAATCAATTCTTTCCTTTTCATTTCCTTCGCGGGCAGCATTGAGGTAGGGTGGCTAGAATGGGGAAGTGTGAAAAGCGGCCGCTGAAACCGGTCCCCAAAGTGCGCCGATGCCGCTTGGGGCGCTGCATGCACCGGCGCGGGTAACCTTACGGAGGTGACAAACGAGACAGCACGCGCCGCTCTCCACAAAAATAGCTCCCACGCTGTGTGGTAGCGACCCGTTTTCGGTAAAATCATTTTGATCAAGCAAGTGTAGGGCGGTACATGGCACCTAAGCTCTTTAATGTCTAATCTCTGAAAACCATTCTTGAAAAGGCCTTGATATGTTTAGTTTAACGTCCCAAAACCACCATATGATTACGAGAGACGCCGTAGTGGAGGGCTTTGAAAATTTTGAACACCTAGTAATCTTTATAGATTACAGTCGAGCCCACATATAACGGCCCCACTTAAAACGAACTTTCGCTTAAAACAAACAATATTCGCGTGACCGTGAAAATATACATTGGTACGATGGCACAAAATCGTACTTACAACGAACGTCTCCAAGCGCCGCTGATCGGTTACAGCGAACGAAGTCAGCAGTCTGCCGACTTCTCGGGAAACCAATTTCAACCATTGACCAGGCATCGGCGAGGTGCCCCTACATTCTTTTTGTTAAACGCCGACCCTGCCTCCGAGACCCTCTAGTTTCCGCTCTCCCCAACCCATGGAGGGAAGAAAGTTGTTTCCTTCCTCCATGCCCAGACTGCTTTTTGTTACGCACCCCTCCGTCCTTTGTCCCCCTGCTACTCTGAGCACGCCGCATTGCCAGACGAGGCCCGTGTTTTCACACTGCCACCGATCTTTCGAAGACCGGTCGGCCATCTACCCTGTTTTTGATCGTTGGTACTGTCGTTGGCGTCGCCGGCCTGGAGTGACCGGACCATTTGCCAACATCGTCGGCCACTGACTGTATCCGATAGTCTGCGTCTAGTGCACGCGCGCACGCTACCACACCGACTTTGATAATTTGCGATACGTTTCGTGTTTAGAACTTGTTCTCGCTCACTTCGCACTTGGCTCAGCATGCATTCCGCGCGTGTGCGGAACACCGAGAACGGCTGTTACCGAGAGAACGGCTGTTAATTTGCACGAACGAATCGCGAAATATCGAAGTTCGTGAGCCCACGCAAACCCGCCGGCGCAACGAAACGATTTTTTAACCACGGCTGCCGATTCTTCGAACACCGCCGCGCACACCGATTCAGGTGGCCATGCACTCTTTCCAAGTTCTTCTACGTGCGTGTTTTGCGGACCTTTCTAGCAAGCTACCCGACCTGCCTTCTTCACGCATGTTTTGGTTTTCAAGGTCACCCTCCCGCCATATCCTCCCCTCTCTTCCCTCTATCGCAACTCCTTGCCCTTCTATCACAAATCGGCTCTCTTCTCCGGACCACAACCCCTTCGCTCGTCTCCACCGCTTCGCGACGCCCGCCACGCTGGCTCGAATTCAGAAGTTTCGTTTTCCAACTAGAAACGGGCCCAGAGCTGTTCCACGCGTTCTGGCATGTGTGTCGCGTGTGCGTATCTTGCTCACTATTGGTGTGCGTGTGTGTGTGTGATCAGGATGGTAGACGGAAGGACTTGCAAGCTTTTTCCTGCCGCTCATCAAAACGTCGAAAGTGTGACCGCTTGGCTTGAGCGTAATCAGCCCGTTAGGTGCCGCGTTGCAGAGCGCTTGCTCATAGCTGTTGACCACCCGGCAACCAACTTGCCACTTCGAGAATCCCTGTATTCAGCTGTGAAGATGGTGAATATTTCGTGGGCAGCGATGACGGCTACATGCGCGCGAGACTGTTCTCGCGGGGCCGACTTCATCGACGTCGGGCCCGATGCCGAGCCTGAAGCTTCCGAACTGCGGAACCGATTTGTGGCTGCGCGTTGTCGACTCTCACCTGGGAGAGCGGGTGGGACATCTGTTGCGATGGTTTAATTACGGCCGATGATGATGCCGACACTGCGGAACCGTGCGCGAATTGGGGCATTGTGAATGAAGTACGTGGCGAGAACGATTTGGAGGAATCCGATTGCGAGAACGATGAAACTTTGGAGCCAGTGCCTCATGCAGCTTATGCCACGGGCCTCGGCGAACGAGCGCCCTGCCGTTTTAAATTAACTCGTGACCGTCCCTTATCGCTTCTGTTCTTCGAAACAGGTGCATCACGGACTTTTTGAAGCACGTGTTTTCACTCACAACTTTTTTTAAAAGCTACGTTTCATTTACTATGAACTTCGGGATACAGCGAACGGATGCCGCGTCATGGTCAGGTTCGTTATAAGCGGGCTTGACTGTATACTCCAAGATCAGAAGTTTGAATCAATGTGCCTGCGCTGCGGGAGCTAGAATATCTTTTTAATAAACCTCGTACTTATAACCAACACGTGATAAAGCATTCGTTAAACATGCTTGTAGTACCATAATTTATCTTGCTAAGATAAACGTAAACCCAAGTGTTTGTCTCACTAGGCACGATGAATTAAATGTAAATTTTACCTGTTCCTAGAAGCGTTTAGGATGACCATTGTCCTACAGGCTACCTTATCTATTAACCACCTTAAACCGCGAAGACATTGACCCTTTGTCCTTCCTTCTGCCATTGAGAACTTCCTATGAATCTATTTAAACACTGCAAGAAACGTCCCTTCGATTGGCTGTCTTGCACATTTTTAAAATAATTCTTATTACTGTATTGTATCTTTTACTGTGATGTTTCTGTGTATCAGTGTATAGTTTTGATCCTGATGATTTCTGACACTTCATTATAATATTATGTGTAATAATTTCTTAGGATTAATTCCCAACTATAGCACTGTAGATATATGTAAATTTAAATTATCAAAATCGCCACATTAGATGCTTCGCCCAGCTAATTCACTTTCCCGAATAGTATATGTTCCAGAATTTTCGTCACTGTATGTATTCCCTCGCTCTTTATTTGTGGAGCTTTGTTTCATAACTTTTGTATTTGTACTTGGAGTCAATTTCTACTTGTAAAGTTTATTTTTTATTTACATGTATTAATGTTTGTCGTGTATTGCTGCTTTGGCAACTTGTGACTGGGTCAGTACTATGTCAATCCCTCGAGCTTTTAGTCCCTTGCTCCTCGACCTATTGAAAGAAAAGAAATGAAGTCTCTGACCAAAACATCTATAGCTAATTTATGTGAATTAAACTAGCAAATTTTGCACAAGACGCCGGATGTAGAACACAGTGGCCTAATGTGCACCAGAGAGTTGCATGTGATGGCTTATAACAACGTGGCGCATGTTAAACCTATTTCTCATTGTCACAGAAAGCCGAAATATTATTTCACCGTCAACCCTCTCCTCAAAAATATGATCATTGACCTAAAAATAATTACAGTAATTCTGACAGCTTGCATCTGCTAGCAGCCTGTAACCGCAGTGTAAAATACATGCAGTGTAAATAATTTTTGCCCTTTTAACCTACACAGGGCCCACTATAATTGCAACTGTTTATGGAAACGTGAGCCTTGCTTTTCCAGGTACTGCAAACTTAGTGCTCCGCGACCTGTACTATCAGCAGAAGAGAATTTTATTTTGGAAACATAACTGATAAATAGTGCTACCGTGTTGCAGGAACGACTTGCATGACAGTTACAACTCGCACAATTTAAGCAGCAGCTCCATTTCTACATGTATAACGAGTGCGTCAAATACCAATTGCCGAAGTAACGTGCTATACCAGTAGCGGTGTTACTTATAACGCGTAACCACCAACACTGCGAAACAAGGTGGGCGTTCTTGCTACTCACCAAGATTATTACGAAGTACCAGATTTCTCACGGCGTAGCTTGCCACATAATATACAGGGCGACCACCCGCCGCTCAGCGGTGTACGATTCATGGGCGACAGACACTGCTAGTGAATCAGATGGAAGTCTTTCGTAGTCTTCCTCATTTTATTCCATCTCATGCAGCATTTTTTCTACAGACAGAGCAACTCTACCACTAAGTGATCCACATTGCCACCCTTGGTACTCTTCAAGAGGCTGAACTGAAGCATTAAATTTTGCGGACAAGCATAATGCAGCGACACTGGATCTACTTTTTTTTTTTTTTTGTCGTTGACACCTTCAGGCATTTCAGAGTTTGATTGATATGTGGGGTTTAATGTCCCAAAACCACTATGAGAGACGCCGTAGTGGAGGGCTCCGCAAATTTTGACCACCTGGGGTTCTTAAACGTGCACCAAAATCTGAGCACACGAGCCTACAACCTTTCCACCTCCATCGGAAATGCAGCCGCCGCAGCCGGCATTCGATCCCGCGACCTGTAGGTCAGCAGACAAGTATCTTAGCCACTAGACCACCGCCGCGGGGTTAGGCATTTCATAGTAACCCAGCGCAATTATCGATTGATGAATAACTTGTAAAGCAGCTACCCCCTCTGAAAAAAAAAAGCAGCGCACCAGAGGAAAACTCTCTGCGAAGTGCGCCGCTCACTACCCACGCCGCTGCCATCAGCGCCCCTAGTGGCATCGGTATGCCGAAGGGACTTCTCCGGCAAGCAAAAAGTGCCGCACTCATCACACCTCTCATTCTAGCCACCCTAGTTGAGATGTCGCAAGTGCTACCGCGGGATCGGGCGATTGTTCAGATCATTTTCGGAGCGCGGTATGTTCGAATTAACTGTCGGAAGTGCTTGGGCGTTCGAATTACCGGGCGTTTTCGCCCATTGGAATACACATAGCTTTGACGGGACCTCATCTTGAGTTCGAATTAACCGGAAGTTCGAATTAAGCGTGTTCGAATTAATGAGATTCAACTGTATTCTTAAACCCACAAGGTGCTTGCTATAGCGTTGAAATTCGATGGCACCACCCCTTCGAAAGGGCCGGCTTGTGCACAGTTGACACAGCACGTTACTCAAAGTTTACAATCATCCTGTGGTTTACATCTGATTACAGTGATTTAGTTTACAGTGATTAGTTTACAGTGATTAGTTTACAATAATCTTTTCTAGCACCGTTCTTGGTTTGTTTAAGCAGCACGCTTTTAGTGTCGAGCTGTGACAGTCCCTTATCAGCACTCGTCCGGTTGCATGTATGAGGTTGCTTGCCCTTCGTGTGACATTCTAATTTCTTTCTATCACATTATCTGCTTTACCCTTACCACAAACTAACTTTTTTTTTCCCAAGCACTTTTGCAAAATGGGATCATGTGCACCCACGCCGCATTACTGCTTCGGAAATGGGGAGTTTGACAGGTTCACACACGGATGTACCACATTAAGGAGGTCGCAATGTCGATATGAGAGTGTACTGCTCAGGTAATTCAAGGATTTTAAAGGATGGCAAAAAATTCCAGAACTTTCAAGGGCTTTGAAATTTCATTTTTCAAATTCAAGGGTCTTCAAGGATTTCAAAGACCTGTATGAACCCGGTCTATTCAGAAACAAATAACATAAACTGCACATGTAGTGTTAAATAATTTTCGCTACGTCACGTGATACTGTTAACGTCAGAGTGCAATCGTCTACCTAAAGGACCAACGTCACAGCACTGCCGTGTACGTAGGGCAATACAATCGGTACGTCATGCCCTCATTTTTTGGGCCCGAGCGCTAGTGAAAGAAAGAGAGAGCAGCGTTCATCTTGAAATTTGAACTATCTTTGCAGCACGTAGCATTGCAAATTTTGGCAGATGGCATCGTGAACGCCACATGTATGCATTACACTTGTCAGCTAAAAATTGTGAAACCTGGTGAGTTGCCCTTTAAGTGAAACTAACAATTTGCATCTTTTGGACCTGATCATTGTTAAGAGCTTATGTGGAACTAAGAAATTGTATTTTTTGGACCCCATATCGCATAACTCAACAGAATGCTGGTTGAAGAGACTATGACCAAGCGTTGAAGAGGTCTTCACGCTGTCAGTTATCTAAATGCGAAGCAGGCGTTAATAGAACACAGTGCACCTACCTTTGAGCAGCACTTTCACCTCCAAGTTCACTTCCTTCCTTTTGCAGAGAATCCTCCAGTTCGATCAAGGGACTGGCCACCTCGGGGATCGTGGCGAGGCACCATACCACATTTTCGGCAGATACGGTCACCTGCATGGGTAGGGTGTCCCCAGCCTTGACGACGTTTAGCATCGACTTCAAGAACTCTGGATGCCGCAAGCACGAGGCCGCAGGTATCTGCAGCAACGGCCGGAGTGATCACAGCCTCGGGTGTAGGCACAGCTGCAGGGTCAGCTGTTACCACGCGCTCGGCGAGTCCTTTGGCCACTAGCTGCTCATTCAAACTCGGTCCACCTGTGGCAGCAAGGCAACAGTGATTGATGAACACATTCTTGTGTGACTGCTACAGTTGCTGTAACATGTGACGCAGGATTGTAAAACTCATTTTACTTCCTTTAGGAACACACTGACCCTAGAACGCAATCAGTCTCTGCCTTGAGTCATGCCCGATTCTGTCCACCCAATGCCGCCTGCTGTTTTGACTACTTACTTTAGCATTTTTTACAAGAGAGAGGCAGTACACTTTCACTGATGGCAAGGGTGTGGAAATTTGAGGGATGACGCAAAAATTGGCAGTCAAGTGACAGGCATCGCATAGCGCAAGAGGCTTACTGCCAAGGAAATGCACAAGGTGTGAAGGAAATCTGCATTTATGAGGAGGTTTGAAATGCAGCTGTCACCACTTTACCGATACCAAGCGTGTTTACAGTGCTACTGAAGCCTTTAAAAATTGTGGACAGTGTAGTGATGCTTTGAATGCTGTGGACGATAGTTCACAAAAAGTTGATTTCTCCTTCAAATACCTAGCTTTTCGATTCTCGCAGTATTGGTATTGTGACACAACCTATTTACTGTATTCACTCGCATAATAAACAATCTGACTTAATGACCCCCCCCCCCCCCTGAGCCTTGAAAAATGTGCCCCACCATCCTACGTTGCCTTTTTGTTGCCGGGTTTGTCGTAGTGAACTTAGTTGGGGTCACCTGCTGCGCATGGCGCGTTCGGCCGCTACACGGCTTGTTTTAAACGTAAAGTTGGCTCAGCATGCGCTGGAGCATGGAAACCGAGCGGCTGGACACCACTTCGGTGTCGATCCATGCACACTCCATGCACGTTCGTTATGGGAGAAAAGAGCTTCAGGCTACAAAAACAATTCGTTCGCATTTTTCGCAAGCCAAAACAAGCAATACCCCTATGCAAAATTTTCACTCTTATAACTCCCGTGACTTTTTTTTTCCTCCATTGTAAGGAATCCCCCAATTTACATCAAATTTTCTGAAAAAAAAATAAAAATGTGGGTTCATAACATGAGTGTATGCAGTACGTCGCGCATTTTGCGGGCCAAAACAAAGCAGCTTCCCTTTGTGGAGAGCAAAATTCCCGAATAAAAGCTCCATAGTCCTGCCACTGAATTGAAGGCCAACAGCGGCTGGACAGCGCGATGTTTAAGGGGAGATGCAGAAAAAACGCTGAGTTTTTTCAAAATTACAAATTTTTTTTATTTTCGCCTGTTTTGATAAGATTAGTACCTCTATGGTTATGAAAAAAAAATAACACAGGTCGAGACTTAACTGGATTTGCTTTAAAATTGCATCTAAAGAGCACAAGGTGCCTGTTAAAAGGTCTGTTAAAAAGTCTATTAAAAGGTGCGCAGTTTTCGAGCCCCTTGCCGCCGATAATGCGCCGCCGCTCACCATTGTTGATCGCATGAGTCGAGCCTCACTCTCCAAATACCAACAGTTTCTCTCGCTGATGCAGCGCAAGAAATTATAAAAAGAAGCACTCTTCTGCGTGTTTTTCGAGCGCCGCGACTGGCTTATCACATGGTACGAATCGGGGACCGCCATTGGCCGCTGCGCGCCTATATGTGGTGTGAAACCTATTTGCAAGGTCCATGTCTTGTCGAGCAGCGCAGCTGAACAATGCTTCTTTCGTGTAATTATCTCCGTTATGAATGAAAAAAAGCATTGCTCGCAAGTGAAAGCCATTGTGCGGCGCGCTCTGTAGGAATAGGCTACGAGCAGCTGGTCCGATTTGCGGTATTTGTTGGCTTGTAAAAGCCAATGCATCAAAAGTCCTTCACACCCGTAAGCGGGAAAGTTCGTGATGCGGCAATGGATGATGTCAGTGCCAATCTAGAGAAGTCGAAAGAGCTCACAGTGAGAGAACTCAGCAGGGACAGCATTGCCATTATGTACGACGGTATGTGGCACAAGCATGGCTGCAAAGTGGCATGACACTGAACTTAGTTTGGATTTCGCAGTTCTGTCGAACTTCTTCCTAGCTTGCAGTTGGCACAAGGCTCTGCCAGATGGAGCGGAAGTTTGGCAAGCGTTTCATGGCCCTGTCTGTGAGCGAAATGTGTGTGAGGAGTCGGCTCAAAAAAGCCGAGAGGGACAAACTCATGGTGCTGGCGTATTTTAGTCGCAATGGCCAGTACAACAAGGATTGTTCTTTTTGGTGTGCAAATTTCATCTGATTTAATGATAAATAAAAACTCAATTTTAACTTTAAAACTCGTTTTTCTCAAAACACAAATTTTGCCATTTTTTCCAATGTGCCCCTCCTTTTTTGGGCGCTTCTAGTGCTCGGATCTGCATAAAATTTTGCCCAAATTTTTTCCTAAGTATGACAAGTGCAATTATCTAGTTTAAATTTTAATATTTTATTGTATAATAAAAATTGTACGTACACCTTTACTAGGTGAAATATGGACTTTTTAAGTCAATAATTTTTCACGCGTATTACATATTTTGCATGTGCTTCCTAATTAGTTATTAGCACTCTACACTTTATTTGAAAGCATTATTAGGTATGAATGGTAAAAAATTCCAGAAGTATAGGGATGAAAAGAGGGGGGGGGGGGCAAAAGGGTTAAGGGTTTCGCTTTGTCATGTTGCAGAGCTAAATGTGTGTAACTAGCAAGAAAACTAAATATGTATTTGAAATCACCATAAAAAGTTCCATAAACAGCTCAAATTTCATTGCTCTAGGGTGAATATTAAAAAATAAAGTGTCTTCGAGTAGCATCTCCACTTAATACTTCCATTGTTTAATAAGCTGCGACTGACGCATTGTCCAGGAGCTAGCTACTCGTTGGTTTAAAAAAAACCCACAGTACTTCTGAATCATCCTGACAATACTACCATGCGAAACTTTTGCTGTTATAGCTCCCTTGAATTTTTTTTTTCTCCCTCCACCTAAATAGCATCATCTTTACTGAAAGAAAAAAAAAGAGAGAGAGAGGTGGGTTCGTTACGCGAGTAAACACTGTATACTGTATTTATTCGCGTAATCTTCGCAATCGCATAATTCTCGCACCCCCCAAATCGCCACACTAAAATAAGATTTTTTTTTTTTCGTCGAGTAACTATCGCACTCCCGAATTTGCAGCCATAATGACCTCTGCTCCTTCCAGCCATAGAATTTCCTAAATATACACAAGAGGGCACTCTGGCGCTAGTGTCTAGGAGAGCTGCAATGCACATTGCTTGAGCGAGCATGGACGTGATTGGTAGTACATGGATTTGTACTTTGGGCTCCATGTGTGTTAGTGCGGCTTGGAACAGTTCTGTCACGAAACAAAAACCAGCAAATGCTCAGTGCTTGCGCTTCACTGTCATAACTTTTTTTAGGCTTACCATTTCAAATCAGGTCACGAAGTTTGCAAAGGGTTCACTTCTTTTCTTCGAAACAAAACCGAAACACAGCAATAAACGAAGCCACATGTGTGATTCGCCGCCCGCAAGCACGAAGAATAGGCAAATCTGTGTGCTACCCATAATTTCCATGGTCACTGATCGATCACAGCGCCAGAGTCCCCTAGAGCTAATTTTAGGAAACTCTGTGCTTCCAGCGACAGGTGATGATAGCACACAACAACCTGGCACTATCTCACGAGTACTATCAGCGCACAGAGACCCAATTTAATCCTAGACAAGCCAAAGTGACCAGTGACCACTCTGGCGTGTTAGTGTACGTTGTGTGCATAATGAGGTTACACTGTAGTTATGCTATGGGGTGATACGGAAGCTACACGGCTGCTTTTGAGTTCAAAGTGATTGATTGTGCACTAAACAACGGCAGCACGGGCAGCTGAAAGCCACCAAGACGCACTGGGCCTTCCGTGTGCCGAAGACTGGGAAGGATGGTAAAAAGCTATTTCGTCAGCAGGTGACTGTGGATTATACCATGTTAGACGACCATCAGCCCAACGTTTACATCGTACGCTAACCTTTAGCAGGCCCCTGTTGAGTGACAAATACTCACACTACTTCCGCAAGCTTTGCGTACTGTATTCTAAATATACTCTTCGCCTGCAGCTTTCATGTCTCAAATAAATCTTGCCTTGCGTTGAACTTGTGGTTTTATTGTTAACTCTTGATCAGTACATCTCGAATCTTGTACTTAGTTGCTAGCGTGAGAATCTCGATTTATGGCCACTTTGGTTCCCCCCCCCCTCGCCCTGTACGTTTTTGTGGAAAATTTTCCTGACGTGGTTCTCGCTACCCCGAACTTTTCATTGGTTTGCCGTGAAAAAGAGTGAGGATTATGCGAGTAAACACAGCCCACTATGAATAAGTTCCAACTCGCCCGCCTTTCGGTTCTACTACAAAGTGAATACAGTATGTCGGTTCCAGGGTTCTTTCTAGTGGCTGTACGTTATGGCCTGCATTTTTGTTCTAAGTAAGGCTGGCCTGCAATTGCCTGCAGCCAAGCAATCTGCTTTGTCATCACCCGCCTCGCATTGCAGTGCAAGACTAACAACCGACCAAATAAGATGCCTGAGCCAATTACGATAGTGAACTTACCTATAAACATGGCATCATTTTTCTGGCGAAGTGGTATGAAAATGTTGGACAGGCATCAATGCTTGACCTACATTAGCAATCACTAAATAAGAACCATATATCTGTAAGTTTGCATGTTGCTGTTGATTTACAACACCCCATCCCCAACGAACTTCCTAGCAAATAAACATTGCAACTTGATCCTCAGAACTGCTTACTTTACTCACCTCAACAGCTTTTGCCATTCACACTAGTGCTGATGAATCAAAGACGTGAGAGAGAACCGAATTATTCTCTCCAAGGCGAGTTTCACACTAAGGCGAAATGCACAGCACACACACCTGTCTTTGGCTTCAGCTCCACTTCATGAACGAAGCTTTCTGCCACATTTTGCACATTGGCAAACATCGTGCCTTCCTTGATCATGGAAACCAGTAGGGAAAACGCTTCTTCAGTCCAGTCAGCCGAGCCAGATGCTGGACGCACAGCATGAAGCCTACAACGCACTGCCTGCGGTGGCAATTCCTTGCATTGATCAGGAAGTCGGCAGATGCTTTCACAAGGTACTTCGGCCACATTCCCATAGTCGATGAAGTAGACCGTACATGTGGAGCCCTGGAAATGTACACAGGCGATTGCCAGCCACGAGAACACTGACGCACCTATCTTTGAAACTTGAAGACCGTGAGAGAAAAGCTAAAGTCGCAGACAGCTGGGACCCCAATGAGTGTCAAATAGCAGTGACTATTTAAACATTCTTTTTAGTACAATTATGGCTCCCAGCACATGCCAGGAATGCTTTGTTTGAGATAGGTAATAGGGTCCTGTAGACATTACTGCAAATGCTTGCCAGGATTAATTCTTTTTAAAACACCTTTCAGACTATGGTTGGAGAGCCTGCACTAATAAACAGTGTTGCTACTTTTTCATATGGCATACACTCTCAAAGTACAGCAAACAGTGAAGCATTTTTGAAATCATGTCACTTAGTGATACTCTCAGATTTTAGAGCGGATATGAGAACAGGGAACAGTTTTCCCAATGAGAAATTTTTGAAAAGGACTTCTCATTACAACTTTCACTTAGAATCGTTACACAGCTCTGCAATCATCTGTGCCGATGCCAGCAAGGTAAAGCAACAGGAGCACTGCACAATTAAGGCTGAAAAATCGGCAATCATTCTGCTAAAAATCACTCTAGGCTCTCTGAAAATTCCACTCACTAGAAAATTATAGCCATGAAATATGACAATTGTTAATGAAGCTTTATAAAGAATGAACATTCTATGTTGCATTTCTAAATCTTGGCAAAACAGAAATGCACGTGATGCTTGTTCATTTGTGCCACATTATGATCGAACCCCTTTACAAGGGACACTGACTGAAGAGACTAATGGGCCTACATTGAAATAGGGGTTGATACGAAAACATGTACACGGTGCCCTGCTTATAGGAGTCACCTCGTATAAAAAACAAATTCCTCCCCAGTGCATGTCTCTTACATCGACGTTCAACTGTATATGAATTTTTCAAAAGCGAGAAGCAAAAAAATTAAATGATGATGAGAACCTGCACCGAGAGGGAAAAAAGGAACGCTTAGAAAATTATAATTTGGTGATAAACGGTAACTTACCAGTGAGGTGACCCTAGCACGATACCACTGGCCATCGTCGGCAAAGAGTGCTGCGCAAGTTTCTCCCTGGGTGGGCTTATGGCCTCCACTAATAGCACATAATGTATGCAAGTTAGCCTGCAGCAGTGCCAACTCTGGCATCTGAGAGATGTCCTGCACGTAGAACTCAGACAGGCTAGAGCCGTAGCAGAAGGCCACCTGCACGGTAGAAGAGGAGACAACCTCATCCAGTGTCATTGATAATGTAACACCAACAGAATATCTGTAAACAAAAATCACTTCAACGTAATGACTGCCTGTCATATGGTTTATTTTGTATCCAAGTTTTGTATCTCTACATGGCAAAATATGGGACTGCAGATATCCTTCGAATTAAGTGGGATTTCGAAATAACCGAGTTCAAATTAATGAGGCTTTTCGTATGTGCTATTACTCAGCAAGTGTTCTCCATGCCCTCCCGGCCCTTACACTGTTTTTAATTGATCGTCTTCATTCTCCCAACAAGGGTCAACAACTATAGTGAATGCATGCATATTCAATAAGGCATTCTATTGGAAGCACGTGTGGCTTTTTCACGGCGATCTTGAATTGTGATCTGTAACTGATTAGGGCCCTCCCCCCTGCAACCGCGATGCACCACGTGGGGGGGAGGAGGGGGTGGGGGGGGCTTGCTTGATAGGGATTTTATGATAGCCACGATCCCACCTGTAAGGTCCTTCAGGAAATTTGGGTCTTGAGCATATGCTAGACATGATAATAAGATGAGCTTACCTCAACATCCTTTCCAAGTGGCACTATTGTTGGTGACTGCAGGTAGCCTGTGCTTAGTTGCTCATCAGCTTGAGAATGCACTTGTGGATGCTGGGAAAATGCAACAAAAGAATCATATCAGAGGAAACCCGATAACTTTAGAGATAACAAAAATTGAGAAAAAAAATTTAAATGGCATTTACAATTTTCTAAACAATCACTAGGCCGCATCGCTAAATTTTCACACTGTAAATCGATACTTCAGCTGGAACTTTTAGCACCTCCATCAGCTCTATAATATGAGCCAAGGTTTGCAAAAGCAGAGCAGCTTTTTCACAACATGCAATGACCATTATGCTCATGAATTCGCAATAACACTCATATTGTTCGAAAAAACATCCTCCTGCCTTCTATTTTACGCCCCTACCAGTACCCCTGCACATTACATCAGAAATCAAAAAAAGTTACATCAGAAATCAAAGTTGTGGCATGTGCTGTAATTGGTTCACCGACGCACATAAACCACAGCTAGGCTGGGGCCGTCCACATCCACGTCCTACTAAGCGGCAGCTGTGCACATGCTATGCTCTTTAGACGCATGCTACATGCCAGCAGTAACATTTTTGCATGCCTACACCAATATCAACCTCATCTCCAAAGTTCACCATGAAGTATAAATGGGAGCGAAGGGTACGAAAGAGTTGATGAACAAATTCAGGAAATGCCAAGTCACACTATACTTCCATAGGACATTACAATGAATCCGTTCACAAGTCTTCACAGGAACCCAGCAGCAGTTTCCTTGGAATTTCAGCACAACTGGTATGCTATCCCAGATAGTTTACAGTGCATTAACAACAATGACATAGAAAATACATCAAGCCCTAGCTTTCATTCCTCCAATTGACCGGAAATAGCATCTAATTAACCGCACTGCTGACACTGCTGTCAAAACAAACAAGCTAGCTACAGCTTCTTCATCCCAAGTTTCAACTCCCTAAATCTGCTGCTGGCTTCTATGAATTGTAAATGCAAGAATTGTGGTGGTAGTGCCAAAATCAGAAATGGTGAAGGTATCCATGGTGAAGGCCTTGCAGTGAAGTTGACTTCCAAGTGCATGGTTCACAGCAGTGTGGAGAAAAGGGGCACCTCACCGCATAAGCGGCAAATGTAAAACCCTTCATTGCAAACATTTTTTCTGCACGAGCAATGCAGATCACGTAGAAGTGCAATAAATTATATTCCTGCAGCAACAGACGTACCACGCATGCACAGCAAAACAAGGCTGGTGCACCTTGAAAACAAAGCTTTCACCCGCTACACCTGAAAGGATGAAGCATAACCAACTCTCAAACATTGGCTACTGGTGCTATCCATTAAAAAATAAATATTACATCAAATCCTACTGGAATGCCAATGTGTACCTCTTTTACAGCAGACCTCACTGGAGAATGTGATCTCAGCGGGCTTGTTTTAGGCCTATTTGGCGAGTGGGGAGCTGGTTTTTCTTGGGGTTTCCTGGGAAAGCCAGCCTGTCCACTTTTACTAAAGGGCCTGTCCTTTGCTCCACCAGATAGTGCCTAGCAAGGAAAAAGAAATAAAAAAAGGCTTGTTACACACAAAGAATGCATGTCTGATCTGAAAGGCATATCTTTCAAGAGCATATCTGTGGAACAAGGGACAAGAGGTGAAATAATCGCATATAAAAAACCTGCACAGTGCCTCACAAAGAATGAACTAGGAGAGAGTACCTAGAATTACAAAAGTGCCTCAAACAACAACTGCAGGCCAATCAGACAAAATATGTACAGTAGTACCCCATTAATTCGGACTTCACGGGACTGGATAGAATGTCCGAATTAACAAAGGGTACGAATTGTCGCGAGTAAGAACAAAACACATGAAAAATGTCTCCTACAGCATCAATCTCCTATTTCTTAAAAAAGTCTGTGATCGAAGTTTGGCTCACAAAGGCAACGTGCAAAGAAGTCACAATTTTGCGAAGTTTCTGCAGGTGGCTTAGACCGCGGACACTTTCAGAGGAAACCATGCACATGTCCTTTAAAACAGGCAACAGATGCGCAGCCTTCGCCACTGTGTGGCGCAGACACTTGTCTGCATCACTTTGGTCTTCGTCAGCAGATGCCCCTTCGCCATCCAAGACTTCGGCGACGATATCGCTATTGTGAACTAGAATATGGTCTAGTGGCGCAACCAGCTGGGCTCCAGCGATGGCTTTCCCGCACATGCCGCCATGTGGCGCCGCTGCTACTTTTCATGCCAGCTTTGGCTGCGTTGTCAGGGCAACGCGGACTTCTGCTGAGCTGCGGATGTGGTTACTTCTAACGCACATTTGCTTTCTGGTTCATGTAAACATAAAACTATGAGGTTAGTTGCTGCATGGAAAACCTGGCAAAAGCGTTGGCACGGCATCAGGAACCAGTGATGATTTTCCTTGGGGAATGCGCACTTCACTGCCGTTTATCACGTGCACATATTAGCGCAGAATGTATCTTGGCTTGAAACGATCTTCGCAACCCGCTGAAGTTTCGGTAAGAGGCTTGTCAGCCCTGCGGAGGTGGCGCTCCCACTTTCTGTGGAGATCGTCATCCCTGCGAGCTGCAAACAGCGACGCCTTCAAAGCGCCCCGGTCACCGATTCAGCAACAGGGAGGAAAGCAATAAGAATTCGTTCTCCTCTTCGACATGTTCGCGAGTATCTGTCTGTTGGTATGGGATATCTCACAAAGTACAGGTTCCAGCCCGGTACTGTCGAGAAAATGCAGCAGATTGCACCAGCACACATGCAGTAGAGTAGCTTGTTAGAACTGGAATTGCAATAATCCAGCCTGCAAGATAGGCTCATCAGCTTCACTCTCTTACGCGGCCTGCGGCACACAGGAGTGCGGTACGCGTACCGCAAGAACACTTGTTGAGAAGCACACACACCGACCGGAGGAATAAAAAGCTCGTCTCGTGTGCACCAAGATTTCCTTACAGGCCGTCGCTGACCCTCTAGGCTATATCACTCGGCTGAAAGTTATTTCGAATATCTACGAATGACAAAAAAGCGACAGCATTATGCTTCCCATTTGTCGTATTGGCCTAAACGCATGTTTCGACACGCATGCATGGGATAAAAGTGACATGGTACTAGATGTAACACAATACAAGGAACGAAAGCAAGGCAGCATATTTGCTTTTACATGGTTTGTTCGGCTGACACTATCTCTTAGGATAGCCCATATCTATGCCTTCCATGCGCCTTGGTCAGTCGGGAATGCAAATACATACACTCGCGGCCCAGATTTACGATTTCCAAAGGAATGTGGACACAACACTTCCTTGGCATCGCAGCTGCTTGCGAAATCTGATCGCTCACCAACGAACACGAGCACAACCACAAGCGGCACACATCACAACTCCAAAGAGCCCAACGGCACACAAAGAACGATGCAACATTCGTTTTTTCTTGTCGAAGCGCAGTAATGCTGCAAGGACTACAACGGCGATGCGAACACAGGCACCGAATGCTGGCGTCGGTTGCACTGTGTGCTACCACAGAGCACAGGACAACCAGCATTGTCAGCCCGTTGACATATGCGGTAGAGCTTCCAGGCCTTGACAAAGTTTCTTCAGGTGGCGGTGGCTCAACGCTCCAAACTCACACGCACACTCCTGCACACCTACTACTGATTGATTCCCGCGCTATCTTGAGAAGACGCCACCGGCGCCTGCTCGCCTCACACACATGAGATGAAAAGGCGCAGTGGCGCCACGAGAAATTTTGGACTGCCGAGATAGCAGCCGTGGCTTGCCGGTCACGCCACTAGATCATATTCTAGTTCACTATAATATCGCTGTCGGTCCCTGTGCCGCCCAAGGCAACATCGCTGTCAATTGCGAAATAATCGCCGAAGGGCACATCAGCTGGCATGATGCTTACATAGCGGCCGTCTTGCTCTTCACCACTGTCATCATCATCCACCACACCCGGGTCAGCAGCATCATGCACGCAGCTGCTATGCCTAAAGCAGTTAGCGAATACTTGAGACGATGTGTGTTGTTCCACACGTATTGCCACGAGGAATTGTTAAGGCGCAGTACAACGCAGACGTTGTTAAAAGAGGAACGCTGACGGCATCGCTACGACTCATGAAGCCCGCCGGAAGGCACGAGCCGGCCCAGCCTGTGCACGAGCTGCTACCGAGCAGCGGAAAAGAAGAGAAGAAGAGGACGACGAGCGTTCGCTGCTTTCTCCCAGCTACTGTGTAGTTCTTTTGGCTTTGGGCACAAGTTCGCCCTTATTAAACCTTGTAAATAGGACGTCCCGGTTGTGAGGTTGTTATATCCGTTACATTTTCTGGTGGAGGTGCTGGGTACATGATTCCGAGCCCCACGCAAGAGCGAAGTCCAAGCACTGACCAGCCGCAACCAGTGGAGCTTACACCGGTGCACCAACGAGTCAGCCGCCGTATCCGAGGAGAGTTGCCAGAATTTGGGCCACTCCCTTCTGTATCAAGGGCATCGGTGACGGAGACAAGCGCCGCCACCACCATGACGAGCCAAGTTACGCCGGCACAACTCATCGTAAGCCAACCGGTCATCCCAAAGGTGTTTCATGGTGACCCATACGAGGACGCCGAAGACTGGTTAGAGCATTTCGAGAGAGTGGGAAATCTAAATCAGTGGAACGAGGAAGGCAAGCTGCGTAACGTCTACATTGCGTTGGAAGACTCTGCACGAGTGTGGTACGAAAACCACGAGGCATCTCTGACGTCGTGGCAAGAGTTTCGGCGGCAGCTACTGAGTACGTTCGCCAACAGTGATCGCCGGGAAAAGGCGGAAGCAGCTCTCCGCACACGGATTCAACGAACGAACGAAACTGTCGCGATGTACATCGAAGACATGTCCCGCCTTTTCAAGCGAGCTGATCCTGGCATGACGGAAGACAAGAAAGTGCGCCACCTCATGCACGGGGTAAAGCAAGAATTGTTCGCGGGACTCATCCGCAATCCGCCCCGTACTGTTGCTGAGTTTCGGTCGGAAGCAACAACCATCGAAACGACGCTTCAGCAGAGAGCCCGACAGTACAACCGCGACGTAGCCGGTGCATCCGCAGGAGTCTACTCAGCAGGCGTCGTGGATAATCTTGACACATTGCGCGAGCTCGTCCGGTCTGTTGTCAGGGAAGAATTAAGGAAACTGCAGTCACCTGATGTCACCCCCGAGCTGTCTCTTGCTGAAGTTGTCCGAGACGAAATTCGACAGGCCATGCGGGAGCCGCGGAGTGATGTGCCGGCGACACGACGGGCGGTAACGTACTCCGAGGTGCTCAGGCGACCTACTCTGCACTGTTCGCCGATCGAGACACCAAGTACTTATGTGCAGACAATGCGCAGCCCGCCTGAAATCGTAGAGGCAACACGCACTCCACCTCGTGCGAGAGAGATGATGCCACGGAAGAGCGATGTGTGGCGAGATGCCACACGTAGGCCCTTGTGTTTCCACTGTGGAGAGGCTGGCCACCTGTACCGATTCTGCCGATATCGTCAAGCTGGTCTTAGGGGATTCGCCATCAATGCACCGTGTCCGCGAAACGGCGAAAGACCTTCCGAGATTGAAGAATACCTATGCTCACGTCGGGAATTTGACCCGCCTCGTCGTCATCAACCACGCTCACCATCCCCTATGCGCTACCGCTCGTCTAGCCCACGTCCCTTCCCAAGCACGTCTAGGCAGCGTTCGCCTAGCCCAAATCCGGGAAACTGAAGCATGTGGATTGCGCTTAGTTGGCTTAAATTGTACTGCTTGCCTATCTCCATGCAGAACAAGGTCCGCACCAGTACCTGTTGTCGATAGCGGCTTTTCACAAACCGAATAATTCCTCTGTCCATTGTCTGCAGGGAGGACGTTGTGTTCGGAGGCAGGCATTCTCGAGACCGGACACCTTTGTGTGCACACTACAGCTGTCCAGCACCAACAACACCTTCCGAGCCTTGGCTGCAAAGTGGCGGTCGAGCTGATGCCGCCCATCTTGAAAAAGTTGGGCAGTCATCTAGGCCTTTCTGTTAAACCAGTAGTCAACAGGCAGCTGCCTAATATTCTTAAAACATCTTGGCTAAAACCACCTTCCCTATCACCAGCAGCATCAGCCACTCAGTGCAGGTCATGTTGATTGATTGATATGTGCGGTTTAACGTCCCAAAACTACCATATGATTATGAGAGACGCCGTAGTGGGGGGCTCCGGAAATTTCAACCACCTGGGGTTCTTTAACGTGCACCCAAATCTGAGCACACGGGCCTACAACATTTCCGCCTCCATCGGAAATGCAGCCGCCGCAACCGGGATTCGATCTTGCAACCTGCGGGACAGCGGACGAGTACCTTAGCCACTAGGCCACCACGACGGGGCGTGCCGGTCATGTTAGCAGTCGGAAGAACTGTCACCCACTCTTTACTCCGCTTTCCGCCGAACCACGGATCCCCACGATTGTCTTGTCAAGCACAGCCTCAAAGAACAGCGCTGTCTCATCAGTATTGAAAATGTTGCACGGCTCGTATATAGAAAGGCGCGCCGATAGTCGAGTCCGCCAGTCGTGCACAACACTTTCGTCAACAACACCTCTCACCAGACACCAGCTTGTGTCGCTTCATGAAGCGGTCGAACCACCCTTCTGACATATTGAATCGATGTTCATCGTCAGCGGGAACTTCTCCGCTCGTGCACAGATAAGAAAGCCGCTCAAATGGCAAAATCTCGCGCGCCCGCGCCTCTTCTAGCTCGGCGTGCACTGTAGTTCAAAGCCTCTTCCTCTCATCTCGAAACATATCGCCGTCATACGTTTGCATAATCTGGTTTTCAATCTTCACCTAACTGCTCAGCGTGCTTTTTTTCACATTTCCATGACTGCTTTTTGAGATGCTCCCACTTGCAACACCTTCAATATTTTAACCTTCGCAGGCAAATCCTTTGCTTCGTACTTGGCCCTTTTCGCTGCGGGGGTTTGAGGCCGCAAGAGACGCACGAGAAGCCATCCCGGTGTCGCTTGGCAGTGGTGATGCGCCGGCACTTCGCACAAAGGAGCTCAGCGATAAAAATGGCCGCATATCTGCATGTAATCTACAAATGTCGTCGAAAGACGATCGTCTTGTTTGTGGAAAGAGTGAACAAAACATTTATTTGATGTTCTGCGCAAGAAAATGGGTGAATAGTATTCTGGAGGCGCTGCGTTAGAGTGGCTCGAGCGTGCAGCGCAGGCGAACGAGCGCATCAAGTCACGCCACACGTGAGACATTAGCGCTATCTGACAGTTTTATTGGAAAACGGAACGCGTGGCTCTGAGACAGGTGTGCGCACCCACCTCAGAGGTGATAAGGTGTAGAATGCAAGGCGACGGGTAGGTGCCACCACTGTTTCGTTTTAGCAAAGCGTCGGAAACACTCGCCTGTTCGTGCAAGCGTTGCATAGTCAGCGCAGCGTGATAGGCGCTACGGTCCTTAAAGTTACCTATGTATGCCTTTTCTAGTAAAAGGCGCACATGCAGAATATATACGTGTTGTTGTGGTACCCCAGACATGCTTAAAAATCACTTTTTAATCGACAATTGCACTAGTATGAACGCGGAATCTTGAGCAACATTGGTGGGCGCTGTGGATGGGGATGGGCCATTTCAAGTACCCGATGCTTGAATTTCAGTACCCGAAACAGACAGACCAAAATTTTTGCGTTGAAGGTCCCCAAGAAAGACGATATGGCCTTTAAGAACGGTAAAAGCACGGTCACAAAAACGAAATTTAAAAAAAATGCAAACTTTTTTGAACAAGCAAACAATAAGGCTGCAGATGGCACTGATCACACAGAGAGATAAATAATTTAAAAGCAACGGCCCAGTACAGGTGAACAATCAGACTCGGGCATCACACACACATGTTGAACACACAGAAAAAAAAAAGGAGAGGCAAAGCCGTCCGTTGCCTGCTGCCCTGTTGCTGATGACAGTAGCGATACACTGCCTTTAATTTTAGTTGTAAACCAGCGCCATGTGGGTTTTCTTTCGGGGGGGGGGCTCTGAGAGGCAAAGCTAATTCCTAGTCATGAAAGAAGTTTTGAATCTCGGAGGAGGCAACAATCCGATCGCGAAATAGTTTAGGTGTGCTGCTAATTCAGCAGGCGGAATCCCCTGCTGCTTTCTTGTCCGACTGCGGTCAGGATTTCAAATTAAGTGAAGCACAGCCGAATCTGTGCAATTTGAGTTTTCAGTCATAGAAAAATGCACATTTTGGATGGGACCAGAAGCCGTGGTCGAATTGAACAAAATTCTGAATTAACTGGGCTTGAATTAAAGAGATTTTACTGTATTTTCCCAAAGCTGAAAGCAAGGCTATGCAGATTAGTTGGCACTATTCTAAATAGTGGTTTTATGCTATGGCTTCTGTTTATTTGCAATGTACAGCTTAAATAAATTATCATGAAGAGTGCTTTAGCTACTGAAGTGCTCCAACATGCCCCACCATTCTTTGGCAAACCTTTTTTATTCCCAGTAGCACGTCGCACCTCTGCATTTCGAATCACAACAACCGATAATGCAACCAACTCCGCCAAAATTTCAATAGTAGTGAGTCTTAAATCTGCAGCCAGAGCACCACAACGCAGTCGAAATAATCAAGCACGCCAAAATTATCGGTTGGCGGCTGTACTACCCCACAGGCTGGCGTTGACGAGCAAAGAAAAAGAAGAAAGAGATTGCTAAGTATTTACAAGAGAGTGCGACTGTTCACACAAAACTACATACGTTGCCCTTGGGAGCAACTTGTTGTTGCGGTGTTGCGACTTTCCCCTTCACTGGAGCGTTGCTGTTTCTTTGAACACCTCGTTTCGGTGACGACGGACTCTTATCCTTCTCTGCTGGTTTTGAAGGAGGAGTAGGCAGCAAACTGCAAAGAACACAAAGGCATCGTTTCAGCAAGAGCAAGGAGCTCCTACACAATAACGTGCAAACAATAAAAGTGTGCATCATGTTTCCTGCAGCAGCAGGCTGGCTTGTTCAGAGAGAACAATTTCAGATGCACTCATTACAAAAACACCGTGCATTTATCTTTCAGGACTTCAAACTATTTGTCCATATAGCAACAATTAATAAGGCGTAACTCCATCACTTTTCAAGTCCTCTCTACCTCTCTTCCACCAAACAGCACTGGTAAAAACTGTGCACAGCTGATAACGATTAAGACCAACACAGACCAAATTTCTCAGCAGTGACTGGCACCCTTCTGCAGCTTACATAAAGCAGGTAACTAATCACAATTGAGAAAATTAATCCAATACAGGTGTGATAGTCATCAAAGGTGAAGTATGTTGCACTAAAATAAAACACAGTGGCGAGAGTCGCTTGTGCAACCTTTTCAGTAGTGACATGATGCCTTTTCCTACTTTTATTAGTCTTAACTCATTTTCATAGGAGAGGGTCTTGTCCTGCAGTGGGTGTCGTCAGGCTGATGATGATGATGATGATGACCGATTTTTCATCAAATACAAGACAGACTGTCTCAAAAAGCAAAGCATTAATAACACCCTGGAAGCAGTGCCATTAATCTTGTAATGACATTAAAAACTGTAAGGCACTTCATGCTCGTGCTTCATGCTTACTTGAACAACAACCACATATTAATGTCACTCAATAGTTGATAGACAAAGCATCTGGTAAAGAAAGATTTTACAAGTTAGGCCACAAATTACTAGTCAAGGCAATAAACTACTGCCGAAGCGAAGATTTTTTAGCCCCGTAAATGCTTAAACAGAACGAAGAGAAACAAGTGGTTTAATCTTATATGCAAGAAAATATGTATTTTTTTTAATTTGATCAGTGCATGAGCACTAGATTTTTGCATCGATAAGCACAATTGCTGCTCCTATAGTCTAGTATGAGGTCACATGATGCCAATATGATTGTTTCTGCAGCTTTTCTTACCTAAACGGAAAAATGAAGTTCTGTTTACTGAGAGATGAACGGACGTGCAGAATCCTATGCACGAAACCAATTATATTAAATGGAGCTGTTTCATTTAAGCAACAGTTCTATTTAAGAGGTTTTCGTTTACGAAAAGAGACAAACAGAATCTTTGCCTTGTAAACTCTGCGTAGGTAGACCTCACTTAGTACTTAGTCGTAAGGTAAGCCTACCCTGAATGTCCACAACGCCCAGCTCAGTGAACCCTATGCCCCACTCTGTTGGCCATGGATTCTGCACCTTCTATTTGCAGAGGCAACAGCTGCCAGTTACTTGCACAAAGCACAGCACAACAATGTCTAGATAAAAGACACATCTTTGTACACCTATGAAGCAACTACCAAGTGCACTTTACGATTGGCATACCCTTTCTTTTGGCAGATCTCCTTATGTGCAGGCCAGTCCTTCAACTGACAGTCTGGTGAGCAGTAGTATGCCTTGCAAGTGGGGCACAGGAATTCGGCTGGAAGAAAGATGCAACCAATTCACCACTGATTAGCTGCTTAATTTTGATTCATTCCTTAAAGGGGCCCTGAAATACTTTTCCATGTAATCATGGAATGAATTCACTGGAAGAGCTTATTGCCTCACGAATTCAACACCGCAAAAATTTTAAGAGTCCGTCCAGTGCGAGTGGAGTTCTAAAGGTTTTTCGCATGCAGCAATTGCATTCTCTTTTATCTCGTCCCGACAAGAGCCCATAAGCTACGCAGGGAGAAATGGCAGGGCCAGAGAAAAACTTTATGTGCGTCTTGTGACCTTGAGCACTTTTTTTTTTCTTTCTTTCTTCGAAAGCGCGACATTTTCAGTGTGATCGCGCAACTTTTTCAGTGTGATCGCGCGCGCGCGCATGGACAAGTAGCGGCCTTCCACGGCGATCTCTGTAACAAGCAAGCGGCACCATGTTCATATCAGCCAATGGCCGATAGATGGGCTTATTACATGTAATATTTTGATATGTTGCGTGATTTGTCGAAAGCAGAGAAAGCAATTTTTAGGCTGATTTTGATCATTTATTGTGAATTTCAGGCCGCCTGCTGCGCTATATTATTTGGCTCGCGTGTTGTCAGGAGCCCCTACTACCGATCGGTAGCGTTTTCTGACCATGCTCAAAAAGTGTTGCAGGCCCCTTTAAGACTGAACAGAGAAGCCCAAACAAGACCTTAAGCTTACAGCACAGATAAAGACAATGATAAAGTTGTCATCCCCATTTTTACTACTCTGCAAACCTTGAATCATGAATCACTGACTAGACCAACCATTTACCGCCATGTGACACAATATGTTTTACTAAAGTGAATAAAAACCACAATTACTACCAAAAAATTGCCCCTACTTCTCTGAAGGGAATCATGAGGAATGCGAATGCATTTCTTGCACTAACAGTACACGGCATAGTAATTTTAATTGAGTAAATTAATGACGAGAAGAGATTTGTATCATAACCATTCATTTACACATTCATCATCCAGCGAACGGTCGAGAGTGAAGCGTGCCTTCACTCCATTTATATACACGTATGACAGAGTAGACAGGACAGTGGGGTGCAGGGAGGAGAGAGCGAACGACGAGAAAAGGAGTGGCGCAGCAATGCAGCTACCTTCTCCTACATTGCCTCCACACACGTGGTAGCTCCGCCGAGCTGAGCTCTCACGATGCGAGCACCCTCACATGCCAGAGCGTTCTCCTCCTCTCCGCTCACTCTCCAATACTCCGCTCGCACCACCTGCTCTGGTTGCTACGGGACGAGGATAAGCGTGTGCCCGCAGCTGTTGCATGGGAGAGGGAGTGAGAGTGGAATAACACTTGCCAGCGTGCGGACACCGACAGAAGCCCTGACATACCCAGACTAAGAAATGCATTCACACTTAAATTTTCAAAGCACGGAGAATTGCTGGTTCATTCTCAGTGCACACTGACAGCTGCCGAACAGCGGCTCTGCTATGATAAAATAGCTGCTGCACTGTTTCCATTATATTCATTTATCACGTAGCTTTTTATTGAATCCAGTACGATGCTTGGCAACCATTTTACAAGAGCCATCAAATGTTGCAAAAGTTATCCGATTGGTACACAATGGGTCTTCCTGTATCGGAGCTTTCTCGAATGTTGACACTTTTTCTGCAGTACAAGAATCTGTATGCAATCAGATTTGATGAGGGAAGTAAATAATGGTTGCACAAATTGTTTCCCATTTAGCGAAAAAACTCAAAGCTAGCTCACTGCATCATGATGCCGCAAGCACTGGAGTCTGGCACCCACAGAAAAGCTCGCGGTGCAGAGTACTGAGACACTAAGACTGGATCACTTTATACTCTCATCCCCCGGCTATGAAGGCCACACACTACACCCAAACCTCATTACAACAAAATTGCACCTGCCGTGAAAATACTTCGTTATACCCCAAAATTTGTTATAAAAGTATATTTGTAACACTGTATCCATGACAAAGCTATTCTTCACTTACTTCTTTATAATCGATAATTCATTATATCCGTGTTCATTATATCGAGGTCTACGCATGTCTGCTTACCCTGACCATAGCATTTCTTTTGTACCGAGTGTGTTTCCACACTCACTCAGGGTTATGCTGTGTTACTAAGCATTAGGTGGCTAGCCAGTGGTACACTACACAAATATTCTAGGCCTTTCACATGGTGTCACTTCCCAAACTGTGCCTCAACCAAGCATCAGAGAGGGAAAAAAAAAAATGCAAGCTGTCGACACTGGGAGTAATAAAGCAATAAAAAAAATCAGTGCTCACAGTATTCGCCGCAGTAGACGCACTTTTGATCAGATAGTGCGGATGCTTCCCGGACAACCACCTTGCGTGTCTGTTCTGCACTGCCGTTCCCTGTGATGACAACCTGCAATATCTTCACTGAACACACCTTCACCTATGTGCGATCGGTGCGGCTTGGAGGATTCATCGGAGGAGCCGCTGCTCAGGCTGCTGCTGTCCAGGCTGCTGCAGCCACTGCTGCTGCGACTACGGCTGTAGACATGCCGTTCGCCTGGCAGGGAACCCACTTCCACACGAATATCTCTCAACTGCCAAGGAAGAAAGAGCAGAAAAAAAGGAAAGAACAATGAACTATCAAGGCAGAAAAATATATAATATACATGTGAAAACATCTTAAGCTTGCTTTTGTAGTTTCTATAGCAGTTTGCAGTGTTCACAGTTTTCATTGATTGATATTTGGGGTTTAACGTCCCAAAACCACCATATGATTATGAGAGACACCACAGTGGAGGGACTACGGAAATTTCGACCACATTGTGTTCTTTAACATGCACCCAAAGCTGAGCACACGGGCCTACAGCATTTTCGCCTCCATCGGAAATGCAGACACCGCAGCCGGGATCCAATCCCGTAACCTGCTGGTCAGCAGTTAAGTACCTTAGCCATTAGACCAACGGGGCGGGGCGGTGTTCACAATTCTCAAAAGTACGTCCCAGAAATTTGTCCAGAACAGTGTTGGCAAAAATGCAGCCCCACCACTCAGTGTGCAAGGTTCAATCATGGGAAACACGCTTCTCACAGAATACATTCAACCTAATGCAAGCCAGAAAAAAAAAAAAGAAATGCTGGGAAAAAAATGCCTCAAGGCCAGGCGTCTTTGCTTGCAGCACCATCCATTGCAAGTGAGGAGCTACCAACCAGAGACAATGAAAAATGTTTGAATAGCTGAGCTTTCATACATCCTTTACATTTTTTTTCCAACCTTTATTTTTTTTACTACAGTAGCATTCCGATATATGGATTGGCTAGCCATAAAAATTATCCCATTAAGCTCCCCTGCTAGTCTTTTTCCCAGCCCCACACAAAACATCCTGTTGCCATACTTAATGATAATAAACAATGATGGCTCCTCGTACCACAGATATGGCTGGCATGCACATACAATTGTAACACACAAGCAGTTTTTAAACCTGTACCATATATGAATTTTAGCAGTGAATGAGTATGTTAACTCTACACAACCATAATGCAAAGATTCAACCAGGCCAGTTGATTTCCCATCATAATGTAACCACATTTTTAGGTGCAATCCATGCAGTTGGGATGACACACTTGAAGGAGAAGGTTACATATTACCCACATTTCTCTTTTTAAATTTGAGAATGTGTAAACTATGGTCACCTTTAAAACATCCCGTACTTTACTGCATAAAACCCTCGTATCCTATCAGAACAGACCAGAAAAAGAAACGTCGAATATATACAAAATACCTCAAAAACCAAACCTCATTAGTATGTACCCGCTTTGATATACTAACGGTTCGAACAAAGTTGTGACGAGTCCCCGACCGACTTTCATAAAGACTAATGCATTCACAGACTAAGTCATCGCGGTTCATCGCATGCCAACTAGTTACTGCGTGCCAACTGTGCACCACCGTTAAATTTTGCAAAAGGTTTACTGTGCTGCTGAACTTTGTGGGGGTGCTAACACCCCCTGTAAAGTTGTTTGCGCCGCGTAGCGCACGTGTCCCGCACAGAAAGCCATATTTCGGGGGTGACAACCGCCGGACGATAGATGGCGTTGTGTTCGCATTGAGTACCACTGTTGATAGAGTGGTAGCGCCGGCGGTGACCCCTGGCGGAAGAGTAACCCCACACACTGGGCATGATCAACCAAAGAATCGTCAATGTGGAGCAGCTTCGTAGATATAAGGAGCCGCTCCTAGAAGTTACGGAACCATCGCCATCTAACGACACGCACGCCTGAGGACAGGCGCAATTTTCGGGAAGGAAGGCAGGCCTTGGTGGTGGGCAAGAGTTGAGCGAGTCTCTCCTGCGCGTGGCGGCGGCCGCGAACGGTTGTCTCCTGCGGAGGGTCTGCCGTGGACGGCACCGCGGGCCGCCTACGGTAGGCCCACGTCGCGAGTCAAGCGTTGGCGACGCCGCCTTCGGTGTGTTAGTGTGTTTGTCATGTGTGTTCGTCGTGTTATTGTGTAATGATGTCCTAGCGTGTTCATTACTGATGTATTGATTCGGCGGACCATATCGTCGTCTAAATTAGTTAAATAAATGTATGCATGTTGTTTGGTTTGTACCGACCGTGTCTGCTGTTTCCGTTCACTCCAAGAGCGCTCACCAATTCGAGACCCCACACCTTGCAGACACCACGTTGTGCCACAATCGGTTTTCTGTAATAAGTGTCGAGATCAGCCAATCAATTATTTTGACTTCTGCGCGATTGCTGCGATGCCGTTGAGGGTGATCATATAGGGGAGGACGAAGGTGAGGTGGCGACCAACGACAAACTCACCATCAAGGCCTATGTTCAACCTTTTTGCCGCAAACATCCCCAGCTATCTGCTAGGGCACGCAGTGTGGCGTAGCGCCACTTTAAGCCTATAGCACGCTTTTAATAGGCGACCACCTGAACGCACTGAGCACCCGATCGCTGCCGCCTCGTTGCGCGGGACCAGCAAGCACGCGCTGCTTTGCAGAAATGCAAGCGGCTCTCTGTCGCGGTGTTTACCTTCGTGCTGCAGATCACAGGCACAGGGAAAACTCACTGTATTGTCGCTAGCGCGCACACAGCACAGCAAGCATAGTGCTGTTGTAACCTTACTGTACACTTTATTAAGCGACAGTTCAAATGCCCCTTTGTGTGCTGCCAGGACTGCTAGAGCATCTAGGAGTGCACGGTGCTTGAAGAAAGCTCAACAACACCACATAAACCCAACAGGCTTCTCGTCACATCGCAGAACACCTACATTGCAGACAGCCGATTATGTGCATTCTGTCACTATACTACACTGCCTATCCCATCCCCACAACAGCTTTGAAATACTCCTTGGTGTCACCACCACGTGCGGTTGTGCGGGTGACAGAATATTTTCTGCACTTTTGCAAAAAGAAAGAAATGGCTTTGTGGTGCGCACTTTAGGCAACATTAGCTGTGGCATTGTATATTTATACTTTTGTTGGCAGTGATGGTGCACGCCACGGGATGTAGATTTGCAACTGGTAGTTAATGCATAGTACATTTAGTGCATAGCTATGCCACCGTTCCCGTCAGGTACAAAATTACGAGGTTTCACAGTCGGCCTGAGCTATAGCTTGCTCTAGCCTGCTACGCATTGCGTTTTCACGAGCTGACACGAACGCCCTGCTTCGCTACGTGATGCGCAGCTACACACTTCAGCACTGGACCAAACCGGAACGGCGACACCAGCGACTTCACAAATGGGACCCGGAAATGAGGTTCCGCATGCCCCCTAAATTGAAACGGCAACTCACAAGTATGATCCACCGCATTCGTTTTGGTGTAGCTTACACCAGACGTTACGCACATATCATCGGTCGCAGTGACACCGGTCCTAATTGTGAACACTGTGATGTACCAGAAACACTTGGGCACATATTTTGTGTCTGCCCAGCATACGCACGTGAACGACAAACACTGATTTCTTCTACTGAACTATATCGCAGTAGGTCATTAACTGATGAGACCATGTTGGGCCCTTGGCCAGACACCAACAGTACAGTTATTTATACAAATAAGAACACTTTTCAACAGGCAGACTCCAGAGATTGAGCTGGTTTCTTATTGGCAAGTAACTTATTAACAGTATATAAATGACCACTCTCTAAAAGAAAACTAGAGAAGTTACTTACCTCGTCGGGGGGAAACGGTGACGATGCAGACCCGCTGTCTGTAAAAAAAAATACAATGAAACAAACAAGCAAAAGCCAGCAGCAGCGCCACAACAGATGCAAATTCAGAACTGAAAAAAATTTGTAAAAATGTTAATTTCTGCAACAACTTGGATCTGCAAAGCCAACCTACCAAGGACACATATGCACAAAAATGCTTAGGCCAAGGCACAAACCAACAACCGTATGGTTTCCCCTCACCTCTTCCAGCACCAGGTGTAGACACACCGTATCTTTCCTCGATCCTCCGACGCACATCATCCAGTTCTTCCTGCATACACGGAATGAACGAGCTTTTTGACACATCTTACACACTGTATAGACATGACATCACTATATTTACACTACAGTTACATGCCTGAGTTAGTGGCTACTAAATCTTGGCATGGTTACATTATAAAGTGATTAATTATTGTACAATGGCCCACAACCCATCAATGAATCCAGAGATTCTGGAAGCTCGGGCCACCCGCAACAAATTGGTTCCAGCAACTTGCCTTCCTCAGGAATCGAAAGCATGTCCAGAACCCAAGACTACAATTACCACACTTAGGACAGTGCACACTTACTAATATACAGTTGAACAACAAAAAGCTCGATTCACAAAAATTTTTCTTAAATCTTTTCACCCCACTTACCTTCTTCTTATTGTCAAACCTAAATCGGTCTGAGAGTGACATACTCGGCAATATTCACTTTGAAATGAAATGGGGGTTTCCCGTGGAACTTTGCGATGGCAGCAAGGGCTTCTTTTGTTGTTCGAAAGTCCACGAACCTACAAAAAAATTAAAGAAAAGCGACATTTTCGAACCTGAAGCTTCCCACATAATTTTTGCGACAAGTTCTCTCGCACAATACCACCAAATTTAGTTCAGGTCGATCTTAGATATCTAGACACATGGGGACAATAAAATTGCCTTGCCCTCTTGTAGCACCTCATATTCAGTGCCACCAAGGTCATTTGGAATCAAGCACTTATTGATGGCACGACCAACAAACATCTTTGAAACACTGAACCAAGCTTGGGCGATCTATGTGCACAGCATCACTGGCAAGGCCCGTTGCAGTCGTATGCCAGAGATCACTTTGGCTCTCCAAACAGCATCCCCTTCCCACACATAGTTTAATAAATGGTTCAATTGGACACACATCAAGAAGATGCAGCCAGAATGTTCTCCCGGGGTGACATTAAGCTCGGCACAGGAATCGCGCAGCAGTTGGTTCATGGAGTTGACATCGCTGAGAGTCGAGCAAGAGTATCGATTGTAGCCACAGCAGCACTCCACTGCTCCTGAACAAAGTCTGCAGATTTCTGTTTAATATTAAAAAACCCTCCATATTTCGTTTAAAGAACACAGATATGTACTACCCGTTTTTGGTCAGAGTTATGGATATGCTAATTACTTCATTCTGTAGCTTAGCGATTTCCAGCAATATCAGAAACATTCCAGCAGAAACATTTCAGCAGAAAACATTGCAGCGGAAACATTCCAGCAGAAACATTCCAGCAGAAACATTCCAGCTTAGCAAATTCCAGACACATTTACAAGTCCTAACTCAAGAGGCTGCTTCCTACAGTCGATAAAATTCAACCTTTCTTTTCTCTCAAGTGGAACAAAATTCATTTTAATATGTGCTGTTTTGTCTTTCACACAAGGAGCAACTCCAGCAGCACGAGACAGAGATAACCACGCAAAGGAAGGCTATCGGCAAAAAACAGAAGCAGCAGGCTAATCCTTACCCGACTGTCTTGTCTGGGTACTCTGGCCTCGGCTGGAGCTTCTGGACACCGAGCACTTTTCCACAGGCAGAAAACAAATTCCTAAGGCCAGTCTGAAATAAAAATTACTTCCTAAATGTCCATGCAAAATATGCTCAGAAAGAGCTAAGGATACCTCGCTGCCCTCCTTTTAAAGGGCCATTTCCACTGGGCCCAACTACAGATTTACGTGAAACACTAGCAGCTGACATGCGTTACAGGTCTAAGGAGAATTTGGCCGGGAGAATTCTTCCAAGAGTTCATTAACGGACAAGTTAGAAAACATTGAATTGTTGCATTACTATGCCTCCAGGAGGAGAGTGCCAATCCCAAATATGACACACACTCTGTTGGGCTCAGCTAGCACCTGGAAGTGGCGTAACTCACGCGTCCTTCCAGGTGCCACAAGTGGAGGAGCACTATCATGATCTCATGAGACCTTTCTCCTTTACTAATGCTTTTTTGCTCCCCTTTTCATTGTAATCCACAACACATTTTCAGTGACAGCACCGTGTGCACTGCATTAGACCAAGTAGTGACACTCCATGTCATTGTCAATGGCATTACAAGGAGTGGCTGCCCATGAACGTCCCATGCAAGAGTACCTATGTAAACATTCGTGCACACGCCTATCGGCCTCTAAGTGAGGCTCCTTCAAAAGGAAGAATGGAGAGCTCAGTACGAGTACATATGCAAAACACCTTTTGCCTTCGATATGAAGCTGCCATAGCTGCGAATCGAACCAGCATACTCCAGAGCAGCAAAGAGTATTTACCAAGTATTTACAAAAGCATTCAAGCCTCAAGGACTATTTATATGCTCAAATTTCACAAGCAGCACATGCCTTCGTTTATCAGCATCTTGGATGCTAGATAGGGATGTCTAGTACATAGTACTTAAATAATCAATATGTACCCAAGATATACCAATTAGCTAAGTATTCTCCACTTCAAAAACAAGGGGCCTTGCAACACTTCTTGAGCACGGTCAGAAAACACCGTCGATCGGTAGTAGTGGCTCCAGACTCCAGAGAACGTGTGAGCCAAATATTGTAGCGCAGCACGCAGCCTGGAATTCACAATAAATTCTCAAAAATCAACCATAGATTGCTTTTTTTTCTTCAGAGAAATTACGGAAAAAGCTAAAAAATCATACGCCACAGCCGTTCGATCAGCTATTGGTCAATTTGAGCATGGCACAATTTATCGATACAGATATTGCCGCGAGAAGCCGCTACTTGTCCACGCGTGCGTGCGCAATTGCACTAAAAAGCCGTGTATTAAAAGGGGGGAAAAAATAAGAGAGAAACAAAGTTCTAAGTGTCACGAGGCACGCGCGACATATATGCTTTCCCTGTGCCGTCCCTCCCTGCATAGCTTCCAGCACTTACGTCGGGAAGAGAGAAGAGAAAATGCAATTGCAGTGTGCAGAAAATCTTTGCAACTTCGCTTGTATGGCACGGATTCCAAAAATTTTGCGGCGGTGAATTCATGAGGCAATAAGCTCCTTTAGTAAATCCATTCTATGGCTACTTGAAAAAGGTGTTGCAGGGCTTTTTTAATAAATTTTCCTTACTTTCCTAGGTTTTCTCAAACTGCTTGGTTATATATTTGTACTTTTTCACCAGTCCACGTTAGGATTTGTAAAATTTGACAAAGGATTTTTTTATTAGTTCAGTAGTAGTACACGTACACGTTCTCTAATGGGCACACACACTCATTAATAATTTTTAGCCCTTACCAGTAAAAACATTCTTCAGTTTGCACATTTCTCAAATGTAGAATGAACCTACAACCACCGACTTTATAAAAGATACAGAGAACTTTCTGAGAGTTTAAATTTTATTCCCAAAAAAGTGGCCAACTATTATCTTCTCAGAGCTTTGCAAACAGGATCAGCACTCTCCCACCCTTCGAGATATTTGCGGTGGAACAGCAAATCTGCGAAACCTTTTCGGTCGCAATTCGATTTCTAGGCAGTCCTTTTCACAAAGTTGCAGATATTCCCAGATGCAATATCCCTTTGGGGTGCAAAAGATCTCCACGGCTACATCAGATGAAGGTTTTAATCACCTGACAATTTAGACTACACACCATGCACAGTGCCTCGCCCACATTGTCTACACAAAAATTATAAAATCTGCTGTTTCATGTGCCAGAACCATAATATTGTTACACAAGGCAAGGTAAATTAATGGGGGTTTTTAATGGGCCCCGAGTCCGCGATCACCGTATAATGATGATCTCCACCGCCATGGCTCGTACCCACTCAGAGGGATCGCAGTGAAGGCAACGTCGTCTTCATTCTCTACCCGCGCTTCCCTTGTTTTTCCTGGTAGTGATACTTCTTATCATTCCTCCGGTCTCAGACGAAGCCCTCTGGGCGAGTCATTCTTGCATCCTTCGTGTAAACGGCTTCAGGCGGGCAACATGCGTCACCTCTGTCTTGCATGAACGTCGGCCACTAGTGGTGACACGTGCAATTTTATAGTTGACCTCGCTGAGACGATGGAGTATCACGAAAGGACCGGCGTAGTATGCCAGTAGCTTTTGGCTCAAGCCACGTCTGCGTATTGGGGTCCACACCCACACTAGATCACCGGGGGCATAGGTTACATGCCTATGTTGACTGTCGTAGCGAGTTTTAGAGGACTCTTGCGCTGCCAGTGTACGCAGGCAGGCAGTCGACGTGTCTCTTCCGCACGACACAAAGTTTCCGCAACTGTTAAATCGTCATGGACGACAAAAGGAAAGATAGTGTCCAGCGTATGTCGAGGTGAGCGAGCGTAGAGCAGATATAAAGGGCTGTAGCCTGTCGTTTCGTGTTTCGACGTGTTGAAGGCGTACGTGACGAATGGTAAAACTTCATCCCAGTTTTTGTGGTCGGAGGCGACGTACATTGACAACATGTTGATCAACGTTCGATTTGTGCGCTCGGTGAGGCCGTTAGTTTGTGGATGATACGCAGTTGAGTGTCGGAACTTGGAGGCACACAAACGAAGTAATGATTCGACAATATCAGCGGTAAATTGTCGTCCACGGTCACTTATTATCACGCGAGGAGGTCCGTGTCGGAGGATGACTGAATGCAACAGGAACTCCGAAACCTGGACTGCCGTGGCGGAGCATAAGGCAGCCGTTTCGCAGTACCGCGTCAGGTAGTCGGCGCATACAATTATCCACCGGTTACCTTTTGAGGAGCGTGGAAATGGTCCCATCAAATCAATGCCGACCTTTTCAAAAGGAGAACCGGGAGGCTTTACAGGTTGCAGGTGACCAACTGGACCCGAGGAGGGCCGCTTGTGGCTCTGGCACTGCGTACAGCTGGCCACGTAGTTCTGAATTGTCTTGCTCATTTTCGGCCAATAGAACCGCTCTTTCGTGCGACTAAGTGTTCGTGCGGTGCCTAGATGGCCAGAGGTGGGGTCATCATGCGTGAAACGCAGAACAGACGTTTGGAGAGACGCAGGTACAACTAGCAGAAAGCGGGCGCCCGTCGTGGACAAGTTTCTCTGGTAAAGAAGACCATTTCGGAAGCAGAATCGGCCTTCGCTTAATGAATTTCTCGCTCCAGGGAAGAGAGCTTTCAAGCTTGGGTCATTACGCTGCTCAGCGGTGAAAGTCACGGCATCGGGAAAGCCATACGAGAAAGAAGCGATAAGGTGGTCAAAGTTATCGCCTTCACAATCTGTCGATGGTAGCGACATTCTGGAGAGGCAATCCGCATCAGCGTGTAGACGGCCAGTCTTGTATGAAATGGTGAACACATGTTCTTGCAAACGAATGGCCCATCGTGCGAGGCGGCCGGATGGGTCACGAAGGTTGACCAGCCAACACAGGGAATGGTGATCTGTGATGATAGTGAACGGGCGACCATAGATGTATGAGCGAAACCGTTGCACGGCAAAGACTACCGCTAGGCATTCCTGTTCGGTCACTGTGTAGTTGCGTTCAGGCTTGCTTAAAGAACGACTTGCGTACGCCACAACGTGTTCCTTCTTGACAGAACGCTGAACGAGAACGGCACCGATACCAATGCCACTTGCGTCTGTGTGAATTTCCGTGGGCGACGAAGGATTGAAGTGCCGAAGTATTGGCTGCGAAGTTAACAAACGCTTCAGCTTGTGAAAAGCGGCATCGCACTCGGAGGTCCACTGAAACGGGCTGTTCTTGCGTAGAAGGCTAGTCAGGGGTGAACGACATCCGCAAACTTGGGTACGAACCGGCGGAAGTACGAGCAGAGCCCGATGAAGCTACGCAGTTGTTTCACAGATTTAGGACGCTCGAACGATTCAACGGCCGCTGTCTTTTGTGGGTCAGGTCTAATGCCATCTTTGTCGACAAGATGTCCTAACACCAATGTCTGTCGCTTGCCAAAGTGGCATTTTTTTTTAATTCAATACAAGACCAGCTTTTTCAATGCAGCTGAGCACGATGTCTAGGCGAGTGTTGTGCTCCTCAAACGTACGTCCAAAAATTACGACATCGTCAAGGTAACACATACATATATGCCATTTTAAACCACGCAATATAGAGTCCATAAATCTTTCGAATGTCGCAGGAGCATTACATAATCCGAATGGCATAACGAACTCTTAAAGTCCGTCGGTCGTAACAAATGCCGTCTTTTCTTTGTCAGCCGCGTGCATCGGAATTTGCCAGTAACCTGATCTCAAGTCGACAGATGAAAAGTAGGACGCGGAATGCAGGCAGTCTAGAGCGTCATCGATGCGCGGCAGTGGATAGACGTCTTTCTTGGTAACAGAATTCAGTCGGCGGTAGTCAACGCAAAATCTCCACGTACCATCCTTCTTCTCCACTAGAATGACGGGAGCAGCCCACGGACTTGCCGATTCCTGTATTATTCCCTTTTCCAGCATCTCTTGGACTTGCTCGTTGATTATCTTGCGCTCCGATGGTGCCACTCGGTAAGATTTCTGCCTAATGGGATGCGCCGACTCGGTGTGGATCTGATGACGTATCCGGGACGCTGGGATTAAGGGTCTTTGGCTGTATTTAGAAAAATCGAACACTTTCGAGTGCTTAGACAGAACGTCGAGCAGTGTATGACGTTCGCTTTGGTCAAGTGACTTGCTGACCATTTGTAGCAATTGGGCATCTTCTGAACTTTCTAAGCCTAGATGTTCATTTTGGCTTGTAGCATCAACAAGAGCAACCAGCGTCGTACATGACTCAGGTCTAAATACTGCAAGTTTCATGCCGCCTGGCAGAATTGCAGGCTCCATGGAACTGTTCATTGTCCACACACCTGCCCGTCCGTCAACGACTGACACTATACAATAGGGAATGAGAATGTTCTTTTTCAGGCATGCCGAGGGAATCGGTTCGAGCGTAGCGTCAAACGTGCCACAGTTGTTACTGGAACATGTCACGGGAACACACACAGCAGAAAATGCAGGAACGACTGTATCCACGGAGACGAAAAAGATGCATTCCTCCGGACAGGAATTTTCCAAGAGCGCCGTTGGGAAAGTACCATGTATAGAAAGATGCCCACTTCTGCAGTCTACAGTTGCCCCACACTCACACAAGAAGTCAATACCCAAGATAACGTCATGTGTAGACCGCGGAATAACCGCAAACTCTGTGCAAAACATCTTGCCACACAGCGAGACGTCCACAGTACAATATCCCACCGGACACAACACGTCACCGCTTACACCACGAAATGTCACCCCACGGTTCAGGCGAAACATCACTTTTGGTCCTAGCAGATTCTTAAAATTTACACTCATCACCGAGACTGTCGCGCCTGTATCCACAAGTGCCATAGTAGCCACTCCATCGACAACTACACGAACTTTGTTCTTCAACATAAACGCTGACGGGGGTATATCTGTAGATAGCACCTGTGATCTTGCGGCTTCACCCCCACTGGCCGCACCGACTAGTTTTCCGGCGGCGGTGTACGTGCGCGTCGCCGTGGCGACGGCGATCGTGGAGCACGGGGAGCTGGTGGAGGCGTCAAACTTCGATCAGAGGCCGGCGAGGGGTAGCGTGACCCAATAGGTGCGCGTGGTTTCCGTGACGTGGAGTACGGATGGTCGAAATGTTGGTGATACATGTGCCAAGACTGTCGCTGATATAAGCGGTGGTCACAAAAACGTGCAATATGACCCGGGACGCCACAGTTGTAGCATACCGGAATTGGTCGAGGGGCACGTGGCTGCTCAGAGTAGCGACTCCTTTCGGAAGGCTTGGGATAGTGGCGCTGCCCTTCGGGGGCACTGTAGGCAGTCGATGTTGAGTAAACAGGCGGGCGAAAACTTCGTTCATAGTTGGGAGTTGGATGACGGGGGAATCCAGCCTGCCATGTGCCTTGATATTCATAAGCGTCTGCTGCGTTGATCGATGGTTGCCATGGTGGAAGAGAAACAGGAGTCCGCACACGTTCTGGTTCGTTTAAGTACACATCCTGAAAATCGCTGGGGCGATGATAGGTCTGCTGACATCGAAGCAGCTCTTTTCTGACAATCTGCCGTATGGTCAAAGCAAGGTCGTTAGGCGGCACTGTTTCAACACTAGCCACAGTGGGGACGTTGGACAGGCGGCCGAATTTCGGAGAAATTCGTCGCATCTTGAGGGATTCAAAGGTACGACAATGCTTCATCACGTCGGACACGGAGTTTAAGCAGTCTTTCCCAATTAAGAAATTGTACACGTCTTCGGCTATACCCTTGAGAACGTGTCGAACCTTGTCTTCTTCAGACATCCTCCCATTCACGATCTTGCACAGCTTCAATATTTCTTCAATGTATGTCGTACATGTTTCTCCTGGAAGCTGTGCCCTCTGAGACAATGTCTGCTCCGCGCGTTTCTTCTTTGCATTCGAATCACCAAAACACTTCTGCACTTCAACAAAACGTTCCCAAGTAGTGAACATGTCCTCGTGGTTCTCGTACCACATGAGGGCGGTGTCAGTTAACGAGAATACGACATGATTGAGCTGTTCGTTCGAGTCCCAGCCATTGCTTCTGCTCACCCGCTTGTAGTTCTTGAGCCACACGTCGACGTCTTCTCCTGAGGTTCCGCCGAAGTTTGGCGGCACTCTGTAGTACGGCGCGGAACCCATCGGAGTTGGCCTCGAAGCGTTGGATGGCTGCTCTTGGGCCATTACAATCGGCGAAGGTGGAAGTCCGGCGAGGCGGCGGCTGCGACGAAGTCCTGGTAGTGAAACTTCCGTCTTTGGGTTCGTCCTACCCAGCACCTTCCACAAAATTGTTACACAAGGCAAGGTAAATTAAAGGGGGTTTTTAATCGGCCCTGAGTCCGCGATCACCGTATAATGATGATGATCTCCACCGCCATGGCTCGTACCAACTCAGAGGGATCGCATTGAAGGCAACGTCATCCTCATTCTTTACCCGCGCTTCCCTTGTTTTTCCCGGTAGTGATACTTCTTATCAATATTACAATTATGAGAGAAGCCATATCGAAGAGTACTGAAAATTCCGAGCACCCTATGTTCTTTAAAGGGCCAGTAAACAACCCCATAATCTAAAAATTGTTATAAAGAGAAATATGTACATTTTCACTTTGTAAACATGCTGCCACAAGAATTTTGCGAATACATTAAGTAATTTACAGGGGCTAGAACATCGCTTTCAGCTGGTTTCAAATTTTCGCGCGGCCTCGCCACCTTTCTCCTTCACAGAGAGGAAAAGGCGTAGCCCGTTGCAACGTGACAAGACGACAGCAATTGACGTCATCGGCGTACTCAATTCGTCGCAACGCACTTCCGCTTGCTGCGATGCCCGATTGCTTACTGTTTACCCTGAGCCGATGCTTCTCTGCAGCCAAGTCGCTCAATTTGCAGCCGACAATGATTTGCAGCAAAACTGCATTTCAAAACCCGGACATGATGTTGGCCTGATTTTTCTAGAGCACACTGTCACGCCATCTGGGAACAGCAGCACAAAACACAAATAATGCGTTTAATGGTGGGTGTGCTGATCAACAGGTGGCGCAACAATCTGCTCACTCCCAAAAACTGGGCCAGTGATATGTCCGCATTTGGATGCTTGGAGCCTATGGGGAGTTTTGCAACTCGTATAATTGAATTGCTCCACCGTAGCTGCAGGCGGGAACAGGAACTGTCATTGACTTCACTACTGTTTGTTGAGACCTGGTTTAGACCAATCGACGAGCTGCATGCTGCGTCAAGTCACCAATCGCCGAGTTCGCGTCATTGTGCGTGGAAGGAGCATTGGTAAGGCGTAAGAAAGGAGCGCGAGAATTGCTTTTTGAAATGGAGGCTATGCGCGGCGCGCAGCTCTGTAATATTCAGAAAACGTGATTGCTGCGGTCTACTCTACGAATTGCCGAACTTGTTAGGGGAGTGTAAAAAAAAAGTCGGAGCCGTAAGTAAGTTGGGCCAGTAGGTTGGGATCTATCGTGAACTTGTTAACAGCACAACAGGGAGCAAAAGAGAAAATAAAAGCAGCGCCGTCTTTTCTTTTCTCTTTTGCTCTTTCCCTGTCCTGTGTTTCAAGTGTTGGGCTGTTAACAAGTTCACGATAAAGTCGGAGCCTGTCGGCTAGTCCTTTAACGCGCACCAACACACCGCCACACACGTTGGCACAACAATACCTCACCTCTGTTACCTCCACAGGTAAATTTTTGACACACACTGTTCTTGATCTGGTAAGCTCGGCCTGTCTGAAAAAAATGATGGGAGGGAGAAGGTTAAGTGCCGGTTTTAATCATAATTGAAATGCACAGAATGCAAATCATTGCAGCACGAGACTCCAATGCACCTTAAGCTAACAGAAACCAAGTAGCATAATAATTTTGTTGTTTTGCTATAACGCAGTGTTTTAGGATGGACGAGGCATGCGTTAACAGCAAAATCAAATCATTTCTAGCATCTCAGCATGCTGACGTGCATACGAGAAATTCTTGTGGTCTTGCTTGTTATAGAGGTGGCCTAGAGGATTGCACTTCGTTGAACTATATCTACGTCTTATGTGCTGAGACAGCACGCCCACTAAGGAAGTGTTTCACACTACACTTGTCAAGATGGTCTAACATGCCATACTATATATCTGTTAAGATCACTTTCATATGTGAAACATTCGTACAACAGCACATTTACATGAAAATACTCTGCATGTAAATGCCTTATTGCATCCATTCAAAAAGTTCTTAAATTTTATTGTTGTGGACACAAAAGACGTAGCATTAAGATATTTTGTGCCCAGCATTGAGCATTTTTTCATATATTCCAGAAAGACTACATTACACAGTAATGGCATGCTAGGAAAGTAAAGCTTAAAGTGTATGCCTTGTTTTCTGCACGCAAACAAGCTCGACGTACTGCGAACGCTGGTGCTGCCAGCCACCACGTTGATTGCCACAACAACGGCACATAGAACATTTTTCTGTCTTGAAGTTGCGTCGTCCTGCTGATAGATATCCAGTGCCTTCGCCTGGCCAATGGGCACGTGCCTTTGTTACTTTATGACGTCGAACACGCCTTGCAAGCGAGCCGAGAAGCTGTGCTCAAAACCCATCCACCACCACGAAGAAAAAAAAAGAAGAAAAAAAAAGAAGGGGAGGGGTTGCTGCAGTAATGGTTCTGGAATATAAAAAAAATGCTCAATGCTGGTCACAAAATATTTTAGTGTTATGTCTTTGTGTCCACAACAATAAAATTTAAGAACTTTTCGAATGTATGCAATAAGGTGTTTACATTCAGAGTATTTTCATCTAAATGTGCAGTTGTACGAATGTGCTACATATAAAAGTGATCATAACATATATTTGTATAAATAAAGCTTCACACAGATATTTGGCACTTCCTCGTACACAAAGACTTTTCTCAGCTTGCAGTGACATTAACAAAACGATTTTGCAAAATGAACAGTTTGAAACCATTTACATCTTTGTACTAACATTTTGACTGCCCAAGATTAAAGACAAACAATAACCGTATTGGCTAAATCCATGTATGGAATCTGTGAAAATTGGAATTGAAAGTGGAGTATGTAGAATGCGTAGAAATCGGCTTAAGCTGCATTGGCTAAACTCATGCATGGGAACTGGCGGAATGTTCAGACATCCCAAATCCAACCACAATGCCAGCTTCAAGCACACAACAAACTTCGACGTACTTCCAATCAGTTACTGTGTTGGCAGAAATTTGCTGGCACACGAATCTACGTTAATATTTTCATAATTTGTTCAATCATTAATATCATCAATCATGTCTCAATTACAGACTTTTTCAAAAAAAAATCTGGCTAAATTCACAACTCTCGTTGCGCACAACTTAAAGAAGTCATGAGCCACTTTCCAAAGTGATCCTTGAATGACCTCCGCATCAGAGTGAATGATCGCCAAATGGTACATGCCACGAATCGATTGCCGCAAAAATTTCTCAAATCTCCCAAGAAGGCATGGAGATACAGGGGTTTGTCAGATGCTTTCCCTCTTTTCTAGTCATCAGACAAGCACATCGGAAGCTACATAGGAAGGCATGATACGTGGGAAAGAAGCTACATCAGTATGTGTCATAAGCTGAAGAGTGTGTGATGAAACAAGATCCCTCTCTCCCATTTTGATAGTAGTGTGACTCACTGCAGTAATGTCAGAGGACTACAAAGCACAGTGCCGGCCTGCACGATATCCCAAGGCAAGAATCGTATCTGATCCCAATGCCACTCTTATACCTCTGTTACACAAGCACGCAAAAACATTTATGCGAGTGGTTGTTTACCATGTTAAAAAAGACTTTTCAATGAAGAGGTGTTGCCTTACAGACAACCAGCACCAGCATGTCCTATTCCAAACACACAGCCGAAAGCAGTGGCACTAACTTTCAAATTGGAGCCAGCCAAATTAAAATCCGTCTCAAAACTATATTATGTCCAACACCCTTTCGCGACCACTGTAGCCATTATTTTTTGTGTGCAAAGCTGCCCGGTCACCAGCATTGGCCATACACGTTATGATGTCATGCTTCTCGCGTCTGTGCTTACATATCTAGATCCGTTCAACCTGCTCACAAGAGTACACAAGGAAAGAAGCGTTAACGGGTTTATTATATTTTCTTTGGGATATAAAAGTTATTCTCATGGTGAGCCTACGTGACAGACCAACAAACATTTGCCTTCTTATCATTTCGTCGGCCACGTACATCGCTACATCCCCCTATTGCCAGGAAATACCAATTGACACAAAGTTATTTTCTATGTCATTTCACACCAACTGTTTTTTTTTTTTTTTGAAAAGCCAGTGGCACAACTGTACTAGGTAGTGGAAGCCAAATGGGCACTTCACCTCTCAACATGGCATAAATAACGTGGTCAAGGTTTCTCTTCACTTGTAATAATGCTCTCCATTCGCCAAAGAAAATTTTCTGAAATCAGTGCTACTCCATGCTGCTGTGCATAGCTTCGCTAATGCAAGCTGCAAAATAGTCTTCTTAAAAAATTGACTAGTGCCAAGGCATTGATAGACTAGCCTAATACATAAAATGACTTCTTCCAAGCAAACAACTGAAGTTACTGCGCTGGGCTTAAACTACAGATTAAAACACTAGCAAAATCATTACTCAGAAAACGCTGGCAAACACTCAAGTGGAAGGTTGGCACCCGGGCCTTGGTTGTAACTGTTGAACGAGACGGAGAAATACTCCTCACTCAGTGGATCCCAACCGTCCAAAGTACTCAAATCGTCGGACATTACGCACCTGCAACGAAACGAACGCTCTTTGAAACCCAGGTTATCACATCTACAATCCAGAAATATGGCAACAGCGCAACGCTACGCGCTTGTTGAAACCAGCAGTAGCTTTGTGGGAAGACTGGTTTCTTTGCCTCTTCAAATGTTCAAACAGCTACAATACCGAGCGTAATGCCAAATATCAGAAACGCGATTCGCGTTATTTCCGGAAAATGTCAAACCACGTCAAACACGCGTCTCAAACGAGCAGCAAATTTACATCAGCGAGAAAACAGACGCGGTTACTCGGCGTCGGGGCGACGCTATAGTTGCATATGTCCTGTTCGCGGTCCTGTTCGGTAAATGCACGCTGAAAGCCGCGTTTTGCCTTTACAACACCGTCGCACAGCATCCAAAAGCTCTGACGCGTGCGTATGCACCGCACTGATGACAAGCATACATTTTACAACGCTATCACTATGCGTGCGCTTCGGCAAACGCTACGAAGCGCTTTAACGGGGTGATGTTTAACTCTACCACGCCAGATGACCAAACAAGCTTTTATACTCGTCCACGCGTGCTATTCAGACTAACAGTTACATTGTTAACGCGCGCACAACGCCGTTACTTTACGGACAATAGTTTGGGCTCTCGACTTACAATTTCCGGGCAGACTCGGCAATGGCACGGTTCTCTGTGCATACGATTTCAACGACAAGCTTATGTTCTCATACGAGCTTTTTGAATTTCTGCCCGCAAGTAGAACGCCAAAATCCGCGAGACGCAAGCGGGTAAGTGATCGTCGCGCTGTCACACAAAGCACGTGCTTCTGTGATAAAAAACAGCACCGGGAATGTCGCACTTGTGAGTTCCCGCTAACGACACGGCATGCAGAAAAGAAATAGCGAAGGCGTTTACTGCACAGTACTTACCACAAAGAGTTCCCGCAAAAGCGTACTTGCGCTCGTAGAAACGCATGCAGTCTACTTCGAAACAAGCGTGGCGTTCGACAGCACAACCGAGAGATGAATGAATGCGAATGAGAAGGGAGGGCAGGATGGGAACAGCGCACATGCATAGAGATGAGATCAAGCAGAGTAGGTATGCAGCGCCGCGGTGCCCATAGCGACGCAAGTTGGCTATGTGTATTGTTTCTTGTCTTTGTGAATCACAAACCAAATTTGCCAGCGCTGAACCACGCACTAATCTGTGAAACATTTTAGACTAAAGTAGCTGGACAGTAGATACAGCCGCTTTTCATGTCCCTCCTTTTTCCACTCAGTGCAAAACAGCAAACGAAATATTTGGTCCGATTCGGAGAATTGTGGGAGGGGCGGGGGGGTTCGTGCATAATGCAAGCTTAAAACCATATTGGTGTTCAACCCCCCCCCCCCCTTCGCCTTGCTATGCCAGTTGAGCTCCGTGTCTTTCTCTTATCTATCCCTCATTTGCTTCATGCAAGAAATAATTTATGGCTGGCTAAAATAGGCGGAGAGATCTACAGAGCATGTGGTGCCCAAGTCCTTCAAATTTCTGGCATGCATGAATATATATGTATCAAAGTTTCAAGAAATGGGTTCAATATTCTCAGAATCAGAAAAATTATATTTGCTCGCTGCTTTTAAAGAAAGAATACGGTACAGTAATTGGAAAGTTAATTTGATAAGGCGGTTGTGTCATATGGGAGAATTTGAGTTTTCTATCTAAAGAAACCATCAGATTAAGCTTTGAGATCAAGCGGCCTGTAGTAATTACTGTAGTGCAATGAAATTCGACCAAATTCCACAGCGAATCCAAAACCAAAGCACTGATGAGCGCAAGAAACACGCAACCAGGGTAACGGCACCGTTTTTAGATGTGTAGCAGCTCTTCGACTAGCCTGTGTAACGCTGTCCCTACGTCCGCACCCCTCCCCTCGCCGCAGGTATTGGAGCGGTGCCAAGTAGCTCACGCCCTCCTAGCAATGCGCGGTGACGTCTCTCTCTCGCCTGCCACGCGCTCGCCGCGTGTCAGCTCTCTCTCTCGCTTCACCCTCTCCACCACTCGCAACGTTCGAGCCCACTCCTCACGTGGTTGATGATTATGTGGTGCCATTCCATTTATAACGGACCGCCGCTGTATATGGCACGGTTCGGCAATAAAAATACAGGGGCCTCCTTGAAACCAAAAGTAAGAGTCAGCCTCCTACTACATCTCATACCACATGACAAACTAACTGATACATTCACTTCATTATTTTTAACATATTATTACAAGAGGCTGTAAACAAATAGTACACTACACCTCTCGCCGTAAACAGAACTCTTATTTACTGAGCACAGTTTGCCGGAATGCTGATGTTCCATTAATGGCAAATGTGCTGTGTCAAGAGTGGTATGTTAGTTACTAGCATTGACAATCAAAACCGAGCACAGCAAAAGCCTGCACTCAAGTTCAAGAAGTACCACAAGAAAGCAGCACACCACCAAAGAAGTTGTAATTTATTGTCTGTATACCTATACATCTTTGCAATGTTGCTCGCCTCTGTGACTGTTTTCTTTGAATGCCAGCAACACCAGGTTCCTTGGTGAAAGGCAGGGGTCAAACAGGGGCAAAAGGCAGCTTGGTATGCCTGCAGAGCAACCAAATAAGTGGCACTAACGTGGAGAGCACACAGTAAGTGGCTATCAACACCTATCATCAGTGTCCACCACTTCTGACGTGCAATGTGTGTGTCAGAAGCAGTGGTGCAGGCTGGTGAGGAGTGTATACAACATTTGTAACTAATGACACAACACATAAACACTAAACGTCATCATCAGCCTATTTCTAAGTATACACTCAGATTAAGGCCGTTTATTAAAGTTAGTACATACTACAGGTGACCTCGATAAGTAAATATCTGCAGCCCAGCACTGGTTTAAGGACATTCTCCCAAAAAATGAACTCATGAAATATGGTAGCCTCCCACACATTCTTGTCCTTCAGTGTATAATGTTGGGTCTGCGTGAATCTGGTACACTGATTTTATAAGTTTGAGAAAAGCTGGCCCAACACTTGTGCTCATTCCAGAATTTTTGAACAGGCAGACATGCTTCTGGCACTGACAAGCTGCAAATACTACAAGTCCAATGTGTGCACAGAAACAAATACTAATTTTTTATTCACAATGTATGCCAGTAACTATTTGATTTTCATCATTTCTGGCTACTTCTTTAACACTAATGTGCATAAGCAAGCTCTCAACTGTAACATAAGTTATCCATGCATTTAAGCAATATAAAAACACAGTTACATTCAGAATAGAACTCACAGCGATCCCAGAGGTACAGCATGCGGTCGACCAGGAGCAGAGATTCGATGACAGGTGCCAAAAGGAGACGTAAGGAGTAGAAGACGACAACATGCTGCCACTCGTTCATTGCAAGCTCCAGGTCAGGCAACTCCAGATCTTCATCAGGCAGAGGCAATGGAAACTTCTCCAGAGCTTTTCTAGCATACCTATAGAAGCATGTCCACACAAACCTGCTTAGATTAAACCTGGATATCTCCAATGGTTCCCAAAACAGAAAGCTTCGATTTCCTTAAAAGTGAGCATGATAGCATGGGAGCATTTTATAGTCATGTAATGCAGGTACCTGCAATCACGGTGGAACTCAACGAAGATTAGCCATGACAGAAAGAGTAGAATGCAACTGAGGTATGTATTACTTATGCATTGAAATCCAACTCAGCAGTGCATATAGTGCAGTGTACAGCTTAAAATGGCACACAGCATTACATTTCTGAAGCCAAATAACTACAAATTTTTGACTGCACATAAAGCCTAGTTTAAGAAAAATTAGATATAAAGCTGCCCACATGCAAATTTTCACATTTAAGATTAAAGTCGATGTCTCAAGAAGTTACAAAAACAGATATTTTCAATACTGATCACAAAGAACAATGCGACGTTAGTGACATTCTGGAACTGGTGCATGATCAAGAACACACAGCTACTCGGCAAACTTAATATTGGTTGACCAATCTCATTTATAACCAACTCAAATAAGGAGAAATCAGTATCTACAGTGCAGTTGCTATAAACTTCATAAACTTTTACACACAATTGCTGCGATCGATTAAACAGCAGGGAAGCAACATTAGCTCGCTATCATTATGAAGGTCTTATATCAGTTCTAGCCACATATTGGCAACAACAATGAGTGATGAGGAACAAAAAAATTGTCATGTACAAAGAAAAAAAATGCAATTCTGAAGTGATAGTTCTGAAACAAATTTAACTTTGTACTATATAACTTTGTACTAACACACTGAGAGTGTGATTTCATACCTACTGACAGTAAAAAACGGCACAATGTGCCACACGAACCATACTGCAATGGATGTGCACACACGCTTTGTGAAAGTGCTCAAGACATCGGTACACTTGAAATTCAGTCACAGAATGCAAGTATTTGTGGATTGAAGCACATATATGTTATACTTGTCACTACATATAAGCATCATGTAATGCGCGTGGGCATGTCTAGTTTAAGTGCTCACTTTGTCTCAGATATTTTTAGTGGAGCCGCACAGAGCACGTACATTTAAGGGACAAGAGGTAGGCATCACTGCTTCAAACTTTCACACTACTATCTGCTTTAACAGAAGGCAATATCAGATTTTTAATACGACAAGAAATCTTGCAACACAGCAGAGAGTTCACGCAACTGAATGAGTACAGAGAAAATACCCACTGTGAAAATGTCAAATTAGCAGCATGCTTGACTGATCCCAAACCGCAGTGCTTTTGATCTTCGTAGCGGTTCACAATCAGTCTCTCCAGCAGGGCCCGATAGCAGTGGATCTTCAGTGACAATGGTGACTCTGTTCACATAAAATGACCAGCAATATGACAGGTCACTGGCTCGACACCCAGCTTAGATTGAATAACAGTATTCAATGCTGATCTGTTTTTTTAAGGAGCAGTAATGTGAGCGACACCTCCTGCCCCAATAACCAAGCTTCACGTACCACAAATGAAACAAATTATGTTTAGTGTGGGGGGGTCCTAACACCCCCTGTAAAGTCGTTTACGTCTTGTGGCGCACGTGCTTTGCGCATGGGCCGCATTTTGTGTTTACAACTATTGAGCGGTAGGTGGCGTTCTGCTCACGAGCGTTTATTGCCACCAACACCATCATGGTTAAAACAGTAGCACTGGCAGTGACACCTGGTGGCAAATCTTGGTGGCGGCACATGAGAGAGAAGGGGTTCTCTTTGGCGTGTGACGGTTGGAGCAGGCGGTTGGCTCTTGCGGCGATCCACGGTAGACGACACTGTGGGTTGTCTGTTGTAGGCCCTCGTGGCGAGTCAAGGCATTGGCGCTGTCACCTTGTGTTTGTCATGTTGTTGAATGTTGCGTAATATTGTGTAAGGTTGTTTAGCATATTGACCACAATATGTATATTAATTCGGCTGGCGATATTGTCGTTCTAAATGTAGTCAAACAAATGTGTGTTGTTTCGGTTCGTTTCGACCATATCTACTGCCTCCGTGTTCCGGAAAGCGTGACGTTCCATTGCGAGACCTCACAAGTCTGTAAACACTGCAACTAAGTACGCGGTGTTAGCAGCACATAAGGTGCATAAGATTTGTGCCTTTTGTGATTGAAGTGAGATTAAGCTAATGCAGCAGCCGTTTTTATTTCAGCATTGCACTTCTTTTGCTGTGTGTCAAATTATATACATAACTTTTAGTTTCCAACCGATCAGAGTGATCAGTATGAATATATAATAAAACAAAACTGGTTAGATTAATCTAAACACCTGCAAGCTTATTTATACATTTGCATAACTAATTAGGTAAGTGAAAATGCTGCACTTGATTTATACAGTTCGAATTATACATTTCTGCTAATGTTTCCTTCTTTCCCTTTTCGAATGAAAGACCGGAAAGGTTTTACTGAACACTATCTAAAATAATATTTCAAACTTTCACATCATTTTCCTAAATTATTTTCTTCTTAAATTTGGTATATGCTTTTTATTGATAGTACCTACTGCTTACTACTCATATTTATCCGAAATATGAATAGTAAGCAGTAAATTCACAGCCAATAGAAAGCTTACAGCAAAAATAAGAACGAAAATTATAGTACTAAGACCTAATGAATTAACACAATACCAGGCAGCAACTAGCACTTTTTCTCCCCCAAGAAACCAGTGATATAAATGTTGCTTTACTACAAGTGTCCATGTTGTGATGCATAAATGTGCCTAGGTGGGCCAGTTTCAGTTTTATATGCGTTTATAAAATAATTACAGCAAAACAACAGAAACTGTGCAAGAAAAAGCCTTACCCTTCAATTTCCTGGTATACGTTTCAAAGGCATGACAAGCAACCTCCCGTGCTTGGTAGCTGAGTGCAGCAACTTGTCCCAGAGCACAAACATGGCTACTAATAGGGTATGCCATCTTTCTCTTCAATTCATCACACCTGGAAAATCGAAGGTCATAGGATAATGCCAACTTAATTTCTGACAGTATCATTCAAAAGTACAGCAGTATCTCAATAATAATTTCTGCATATCAATTTCAAATTTTTATATGTAAGCCATACATATTCTGCCACTGTAGTAAATACTGTACATGGTAGTGTGCTTTACGTGCAGTCATTATTTGATAATATTCAAATGTGTTTTCAGTTCATCAAAACTACATAGAGGTTTTGGCAACAATACGCTACACAGGGCTCAGCAGCACACAACCCCACTAGGGGCATTTTTCCATGGCATTATCTAGACGGCTGGTGACTCCACCGTTGGAGAATATGACCAAGAACATAAGCGGGCCAATTTTTTATTCGTGGAGGCTAATGGCGAGCTTGTTTTAGTCGCTTGGGTGTGTCCTCACCTGCTTTTTTTTAAATGTATCTAAATTTAGTTCCTTGCTTTGTTCATTTGCCCTCATGTTACACCTATGATGCAATGCAAACGTTTATCACCTGTTGTAGTTGAAAGAATCTGTATGCCACTATGAGCATGCAACCAAGGCAAATCAACTATCCGAAAATGTTGCAATAGGTTTTGGTTTTGGAAAGGCCACAATGGGTTGTTTCCACTAATAATGACTGCAATCTTTCTCATTAAACTGCAAAAGTTACTTTTGCTGCTTCATATAAATGATCAGAAGTAGCAAAAGTGCTCAAAAAGGGTACATGTTTACTCATTAGCTTCTTTTGTTCAGAGGTTGTATATCGAGAAAACTATTCTTTGCCTGCATGAATTGCCTAACTGTTTTTTGCATTCATGCTCAAGTGATACAAGGATTGCAATGTAAAACAGAACTTGGCAAGTATGATACAGGGGCATGGCCCCTTTCCCTTTAACAGTCACCACAATTGCAACAAACACAACCTATGCATTCTATAGCCCTGTCACAAGCTAAAGTAGACTCTCTTTAAATTGACCCCAAAGGGACTAACAAATTATGTTCTGTTTACTGAGAGATAAGTAAGGGTGCAGAATTTGAGAACGAAAGCAGCCGTGTTAGAAGCTGTTGTTCCATATAAAGCACAAAGTCTATTTAAGAGACATGTTTACCGAGAGTCCGCTTGCTGTATTTATGAACTCTGAGGTTAGCAATCTGTTTCAAGACTGTTTTGCGGTGCTCACTCATGACAAAATGTTCTAGAAGTCAATAAAATTTTAGACTACATACCTGCCTTCGTTGAGCTTCATGTAGCAGCAGCCAACCGAAACAAGGCCTCGCGTGGCAGGTGAGTCGGCAAAAAGCTGAATCATTGACGGCCCTAGATTTCCACAGGTGTGAAGACCAACTAGCACAAACTGATATCGATGAAAAAATTGAAAAAAAAAAAAGAAAAGGAGAGAAACTGCTTAGAAATGTTGTACCAACAACTGGAGCATGGCTTTGTATACACATCAAGTATCTAATAATACGAGAAGGCGGCAACTATATACTTACATTATCCACACCAGACTTTCCTCTTCCCCATGATTTGCCTGCAACCTGAAGAAAATAACTAAGTTGTCAAACCGTGAAATTATAAAACTACGATGGCAACACAACATGTTTCTATAGTATACAATCTGAAAAATGATATGCACGCATCTTAAACTAGTCGTACCTACAATATAACAAAATACCGGTTATAGTGAAGTAAATTAAGCATACTTTTGCAGAAGATAAAGTGCTAGAAATATACCTTTAAAATAAATTTTTGGATATAACAAACTTATTTTCGTGTAATACGCAACGTAAATCTTCGTAAATTCTGTGCTTAAAAACCTCTTATATTCATATTGCTACAACTCTTTCCACGCATGTTTCTTATTTATACTTATGTTCCATTTGGGTTTCGGCCACAAAGTCTGTCTGGACGCAAGCTGCACCTCATGGTTCTAGAAAGTCCACGATTATAGTAGATCATTTTGTTAAGATTAATTAGGCCCACTTTGCGGACATTACAGATTATTCTGGAACCTATGTGGCCAGTAGCCATAATGCTAGAATGTTCGACGCCACGTGTACAAATGCAGACTCGCTTCAACGCTTGTCAGTTGATCACGGGCAGATGCTCTGTTCACCACTATCAGTGCACATGTGTTTCTGTAATCTGACCTTTAGTTTCCTGGCCACAGTAGCACACACATGTGTTCATGGGAAGCTTTAGCTATAATCCTATATTACCGTATTTAATCGCTTGATGAACCCACTTGCATAATAACCCCCCCCCTTGATCCTTGAAGAAAGGAAAAAAAAAATTTTAATGTATCTGTTCATTTTATTTCGGTATGATAGCCAGTGCCGTTAATGATCGAAAGAACGTTAAAGCCATTATATGACAAAATAACAACGCAATGAAAGCAAAGGATATTTATGCAATCATGCTAAACTGTTGCGAGCGCGGACGACGTCAATTAAAATTTGAATGTCGCTCCTCCTATGGCAAAGCGCGATCTGTTGAATGCAGGAGAAACCTCTTTGTTGATAGCATGGCCTCCAAGATTGCGGGCGCGCAGCGTGGTTCTCTCCGGCCTTCCCAATCACCGCGCTCCTAAGTAAAACCAGCGAATCTCGCCTCACGTGCCCGGCACCGCTAGACGATGAATTTATTGTGGACTCCTCGAGTGGCAGGAGCCCATGGCAGAAAGCAGAGCATGCGAGATTCCAGCATGCATTTTTCTTTTTTTTTCTCGCGTGCGAGCAAAAATCATTGACAAATCTTCTGGCTGCACTGAAGGCAAACTTTTTTCTGTTACTGCTTTTATTTTGGGCCAATTGGCAAATAAAAGCATAGCCACTGCTGAATTTTTCTGAGGGAGGTATTATTCGTCTCTGACCGAAGTATTCTAGCATTCCCCCTTTTTAGAGATGCGTATATGGGGGAAAACTAGTCTAATTATTATCGTTGAATTACATTGCCATTCTCTCGTTAGAGATCCTATTACTACTTTATAATGTATCGATATTTATCAGGTGGTCAACTGAATTCCACTTAACCTCAAGATAATTAATTGCCGTGATCGTGCCACTTATTATTGTGATAAGTAATTTGCCAGAATATTGTGAAAAGCTACGATTAGACGACCTACATTTACTTCCCACGTCCTTCAAGTGAAACTGCTTTGGTTATCATCGTCCCCTTCTTCTTGTCACCAGTCTTTTGATTATGTTTTGGTAGCACAATTGTCACAGAACGAGCGCTAAAAAATGGGCGCGCCACCAAATTCTTGCGATAACGCGCGAAAGAGGCGCCACGAGGTCAAAAGAAAAGAAAAAGAAAACAAACATCCAAGGCTCCCCGGGCGCGCGCTCTCCCCGCGGAAGCGTGGCTTCGCCGACGAACCTCCTCACCCCACAACGGCGGCCCAGCAAGCACTCGATTTTTCTAGAAGGAAAGGGGCGTGGTCATACCGAGTTGAGTCATCCTCCGCGGAGGGCATTCCAACCGTCTCGCTCTCCCCCCAGCCTTCGCTGCGTATCGCGCCGACGAAATGACGAGAACCTTCTGGAATGTCGTGCGGAAGGTATTTAACCGAGCAGCGGAGACGAGAGATCAGGAGAAGACGGAAGTTGGCTCAAGAGCGCGTAGGGTATCCCACCGTGTAGTCGGCGAAGGTTTTGTCCGTAGGGACAAAGCAGGAGAAGAAGCGGGGTTTCCTGGAAGAGAAACTTCGAAGGAGAAGACGGAAGTTAACGCCGGAGCGCGTAGGGATTCCGCCGTGTAGTCCGCGAAGGTTTTGTCCGTAGCGACAAAGCAGGAGATGAAGAGGATTTCCACCTGAGGGGAGAAGGCTCGAGCTACAGGCAAGAGCGTGTGTTTACCGCAATCGAGCGAAGACGCGTGGCAACAGCTGCGTGTGTGAAGCCGACGTGTTTCCGGCGAAGAAGTTGAAGCTTGAAGAGTGGCCAATTGAAGACGCGAGGTTTCCTGGAAGAGAAACTTCAGGGGGCAGCGGAACGACAACAACGCTGGACTTTGAGTGAGTGATTCTCGGAAGAGTATCATTCAGACTTTTGTTCCAAGGACTTTGGACTGAATAGGTTTTCTATCTCTTTAGTCTTTAAGTGTCTTGGTTGTTAAATGCATGCGACTGCATTGTAATGTGAATTGTTGTCTGTGTCCGTTGTTTTGAGTGTGGCTGATTGTACTGTGTAGTACGTTGGTTTGTTGGTGACATATTGTACTCAACTATTGTGGAGTGTGCATACTCGTGTATTGTTTTCGATCTGCCATTATTGAGAATATAATTTTGTTTATCAACTCTCGGCTCTGACTTGTTCTTTGGGCCACAGCCGGCGTCTGCTGGCGCGCCAATAAGGACCACTTCTAAATTGTCCACGCTTTCGTGGTGCGGTTCGGGGGGCCGATACTTCGGCTCTTGGAATTAGCCCGGCGATCGCCTCCCTAATTAACGGGACCTGTGTGACAATTAATCTGGCGTCCGCGACAGGACCTTTTGGTGCACAGTGTGTCCAAAGTAGTAAGAAAGAGCCTCGAGTTGTTGATAGTGCTATCGGAACGATTTTGTGTGTTGTTCAGTGTTCTCGTTAACAAGTGCAGGAAAGTGTTCCGATAGACTGATTAAGGCAGATACTTTTTACACTCGGCAAGGCTTTATTTGCGAGACACAATGGATCTCGAAAAGTTAGTTGCTCTTGGTGAGAAGATGGGTCTTTCTGGCGCCGAACTACGGAAGTGGGTAAGCCAGAAGGAGAAAGAGGCGGTGGAACGAGAGAGGTTGGCAGCTGAGAGAGCCAAGGAAGAAAAAGCAGCTGAGTTGGAACGAGAGAGGTTGGCAGCTGAGAGGGCCAAGGAAGAAAAAGCAGCTGAGTTGGAGAGAGAAAGGCTGGCCGCTGAAAGGGCGAAGGAAGAAAGAGAGCAACAATTGAAGTTGGAGTTGGAGAGAGAGAAGTTGGCAGCCGAAAGGGCGAGAGAAGAAAGGGAAGCGAGGGAGCGACAGCTGAAAGAAGAAAGAGAAGCGGAGATGGCTGAAAGAGAACGGCAGCGGCAGCACGAGATGGAACTCGAGCGACTCCGTTTGCAACAGCGAAGTGAAACTCCGGTCCAACCTAGAGTTGAGAGCAGCGAACGGGAGGACCACGGCTTCCGCTTGAACCCAAGCAAGCTGCTCGTAGCGTTTGACGAAAGGAAGGACGACCTTGACGCGTACCTTCACCGATTTGAGACGATTGCTAGGAGCCAAAATTGGCCGGAACATCAATGGGCAACTGCTTTGAGTACTTGCTTGAGTGGTGAAGCGCTCAGTGTGTACGGTAGGCTGACGCCGACCGATGCAGCCAACTACGCAAAGGTGAAGGCTGCTTTGCTGAAGCGATTTAGATTTACTGTGGAAGGTTTCCGGGACAGATTTCGGACAGGAAAGCCAGCTGATGGTGAGACGGCTACGCAGTATGCCACCCGACTTTGCCATTATTTCGACAGATGGATTGAACTTTCGGGGACAGCACAGGAATACGATGAGCTTAGAGAGCTCCTAATTAGAGAACAATTTCTTACTAGTTGCCACCCAAGCCTGTCGCTGTACTTGAAAGAGAGGAGAGCTAAGTCACTTGAAGACATGCTTGAATTAGCTGATCAATTCTTGGAAGCGCAAGGTGGCACTAATTTGGCCAAAGTCAAGAAGGAATGTCCCGAGGATTCGAAGAAATCGGCTCCAGAGGAAAAGAAGCGTGCACCGGAGAACATTCCGCGATGTTTTCTGTGTAACCGAGTGGGTCACCGTGCTAACCACTGCCGAACTAACACGAGCCCTACGGTTGTAAAATGTTTTAAGTGTGGTCAGACTGGGCACAAAGCAGACGCATGTCGAAACGGAGCGAGTCAAACTCACCAGGTATCATGTGTGCAAGCGGCACCGAAATCCGGTAATAATGCCTTCACCGATGGATTCGTAGAGCTGAAAAGTGGGGAGAAAATTCCTATTGTGGGTGCGGTAATGGCAAAACAGCCAACCGGTGTTTCGAAAGGAATGCCAACGCTGCCTGGAAAAGTTGCGGGCAAGAAGGCTACGGTGTTAAGAGATACCGGCAGCTCCACTGTTATCGTGCGGAGAAATTTGGTACGAGAAAGTGAGTTGACAGGCAGAACGAAACCGGTTCGCCTAATTGACCGTACGGTTCGGATGCTTCCCGAAGCAGAGATTGAGGTGGAAACCCCGTACTTCAGCGGGAAGGTTACCGCTCTATGTATGACGACCCCCCTTTACGACCTTGTCATCGGAAACATCGACGCGGCGCGAGGACCGAATGATCCAGAATGTTTGGGAGAAGACCCTAAGATAGAGCCCTCGCCAACCCAGAGACCGCGAGATACAATGGAGGAGCAGCCCGTGACGGATCTCACTAGAGCCCAAGGCGAAGCCGCGGCGCAAGAGGCAGTGAATGAGAAGATGATCGTGTTGAATGAGTTCACGGGCCGAGCAACTGGACTTACGTCGGCACGACCTCAACCGACCGACAGTGTAAAGGAGACGGAGTTGGCC